ATGCCCAATTTAGTAGCTGCCAGTTCATCACAAGAGAAGCTTCCATCTTATGAAAGCAGAAATCAGGTGTAATGTTTGTAGTACAGGCAAGTAAACAACTGATTGCTGGGTCTTGCAAGACACCCATGCACAGTGCTCTGCAAAAGGTAGTCACCCGACATCATTGTGACCTCAGAGGAGTCACAGGTGGGTGGCCCAGCGCATTTGTCAAAGTCAGCCGCTCTAGACTGGGGAAGATTAAGGATCCAGTTCCTCATGCCTCAGCTAGAGATTGTTCTGGCCCTTTTGAAATACACAGTTTACCCCGCATTTAACATACTTGTGGTTCCTATGTGCTGCACACATTTTTACAGGCTTTACCTACCATTGCAGAATTATCACACGCAATGGCTACAATGCTGCTGGAACAGTATTTGAGGGAGAAAGTGTGCAACAGCCACACAGAAACCAGGGCTTCTTAAGGATGCTGGGAGGGAGATAGATAGAAGATTCACTTCACTCCTCCCCAAATCCTGCCTCTTTGCCAGCAAAGTCTGCTGTAGGCTTCTTGTTACAGTTAAATCCCATGGGACAAAAGAATCTTAATGCTTTTTTCCCTTGCTTTCTGTGGGGGGAGTGCCATTCTTAGGCAATATTTGTGGGTGACACCTCTCTTCGCAGCAATTAGCTGTTGCCTACATGCAGAATATCAGCATCTGCACACAGTGTAACAAGGTGTTGATTAGCAACATTTGCATCAGGGGACACACACACAAATGCCCAAGAAAAGGATGCAGCCAAAGGACCACATTTCTGGTACTTTTAAAAGGCACGGAAGCAAATCTAAGGACTATTAAAACACACACACATAACTTTTTAGCCTGCTTTTCAGACAAGTTGACTCCCTTACTCACCTGAAGACAGTGAATATTAAAGTGGCACTAAGGCTCATAGGAGGGACGTGGGTGGTGCTGTGGTCTAAACCACAGAGCCTAGGGCTTGTCGATCAGAAGGTCGGCAGTTCGAATCCCCACAACGGAGTGAGCTTCCATTGCTCAGTCCCAGCTCCTGCCAACCTAGCAGTTCAAAAGCATGTCAAAGTGCAAGTAGATAAATAGGTACCGCTCCAGCGGGAAGATAAACGGCATTTCCATGCGCAGCTCTGGTTTGCCAGAAGCGGCTTAGTCATGCTGGCCACATGACCCGGAAGCTGTACACCGGCTCCCTCGGCCAGTAAAACGAGATGAGCGCCGCAACCCCAGAGTCGGCCACAACTGGACTTAATGGTTAGGGGTCCCTTTACTTTTACCTTTAAGGCTCATAGGACTATAGAAAGCTGCCTTCCACTCATTCAGACCCTTGTGTCCATCTAGCTAAGTACTGCCTGCACTGACTGACAGCAGCTCTCCAGGGTTTTAGACTGCCATGTCTCCCAACGCTACCCAAAAATGCTAGGAATTGAACCTGTGACTTTCCACCTGCAATGCAGATGCTCTACGATGGAACTGCAGCCCACTGGCAAAAAAGTGGCGATGGTGACCATCCTACGTAAGGGGGAGGAACCTCTAGAAGTTGCCGAACTGCAACTCCCATCACCTCAGGCCATTGGCTATGCTTGTTGGAGCTGTTGAAAGCTGTAGCTCAGCAATCTCTATAGGGAAAAAGGTTCCACACCCCTGTGGCCTCCACACAATCTCTGGCCTGTGGGCCTAATTCAGCCCAGAAGGCTGTTTCCCCCAAAAAACCATTCCCACCTGCTCCATACTGGGCATTGTATGTGGACAGGCATAGCCATCAGGAACTCCCTAGTGCAGCTAGTGGGCCCTGCTTTCAGTGCAGATGAGGTGATGGATGTTGAGCCCCCTCAAAGAAGTCACCTCCACAGGGTGGAGGAATTTGGCACACCAACCAAACCCAATTCCTCACCACTTGCCCACATATTAGGCAAACAGGGTTGCTGTATGCTATTCTTTCAGCCTCATCTGGCTCATTTTCAGTCTGCAATAAGGGTCTAACACTAGACTAGGGTTGTTGTGAACCACTCTCAGCCTCATCCTCCAACATGTAATAGCAACAGTAGACTATGTTGTCGGGTTCTTGCAAGCTTCTCTCTCTCAGTCTCAGATGCTCCAAAACTAGTAATTTGGTGTTACCGGGCTGCATTGACGGCAGCATTGCATTTTGCAGGGCAGGGCTATTTTATATATGCATATACAGTCATACCTTGGAAGTCGAATGAAATCCATTCCGAAAGTCCATTTGACTTCCAAAACGTTCACAAACCAAATCGGGGCTTCTGATTGGCTGCAGCAAGCCCTGTCAGACGTTCAGCTTCCAAAAATAGTTTGCAAACTGGAACAGTCATTTCCAGGTTTGCGACGTTTGGGAGACAAAACGTTTGGGAACTAAGCTGTTTGAAAACCAAGGTACAACTGTACACACAAAAGATTTGCCCTTATCGGTAGCCCACTTGGTCCAAGATACAACATCAAATGTTTGGTGGCCAGCTGCAGGTTGACTTCAAAGTTCTTTGGGGCAGAGTGTACCAAGGTTTTATCCTCATTTTATCTTCCCAGCAAACCTATGAAGCAAGTTAAGGCTGAGATGTTGATCAAGTGCCAATTTTGTGACCCAGTGAGGAGTTATTTGAACTTCACTGCTCCTAACTGCTAGACCACACTGGCTTTCTTTCTGCTTCCAAATTGTACCACCTAAGGCAGGTGTGGGGAATGTTTGGCCCAACAGGTGCTGCCATACTACAACTCCCATCAGCCCCAGCCAGCTTGGGCAATGGCCAGGGATGATGGGAGTTGTAGTTCAGCAGCATCTGAAGGGCCGCCAAAGGTTCCCTACCCCTGAGCAAAGATTAAAGATACCACTCTGCCAAGGGCTTCAACCTGAAGCCAGGCTGGATTCCAGATTCACTGCAAAGTGACAGATGTGGGAATATTAGCACATTAGCTGGTGATGCGCACGCAAGCGACAAGCCAGCATGTTAGAAACTGCCAGAGGAGCTGGCGCCGTCACGGCTATGAGGATGCGATTGTGCTAAAGCACACACACGTCTTTGGTGACCTTTTCTAAAGGAGGTGTGATGCTGTTGGGGCAGGAGTCAGGTTACTAATGAGAAAGTGCCCTCTGCTCTTAATGGGGAGCTACAAAGAGAAAAGCGACTCGGTGCATAAAATCACAGCATTTAGAGATCACGTACATAGCACGGAAGGCAATGCTACCTTCCCTCTGGCTTCCTTACTGCGGCATGCCATGGATATTGACAAGCAGCCCTGTGTGCCGACTTCTCTGCACCCCCAAGCTTGCCATGCAAGCACAACATCAGTGGGGGGAAAGGGGTCCTCCACATCTTTAGAATGCAGAGAAGCAAGTCTCTGGGTAGCGCACAGTGAAGGCTCCAGAATGCAAGGGATCCTTTTCCTTCAAGTCCTGTCTCAGAACCCAGCTTTAGGAACACTGAAGATTGTTTTGTGTCAGGTCAGGCTCCTTGTCCATCTAGGACAGGGATATGGGGAACCTTTGACCCTGCAGGTGCAGTTGGACTACAACCCCTCATGCCTGACCGTTCCAGACGAGGTTGATGTCAAGTTGGAATCCAACATGTCCATCCATCCCTGATCTAACCAATCATTGCCTATTCCTCTGTATCTGGAGGTAGCTCTCCAGAGTTTCAGACAGTGCATTCTCTCTATTCACTTGATACCAGATGATTTTTTAAACTGAAAATACCAGGGATTGAACCTAGGAATTTCTGCAGGCAAAGCATGCATTCTACCACCAAGCTATGGCTCCTTCCCCAAAGAGGTATGCCAAAGCCTGTGCTTAACCCATCTTTGTCCCCAAGTCTGTGAAGTTACATTTGCTCATGTTCCTTTGCGTTTCCACTCACCTTTGCATTTCCTCTGCTATGTCGAGACTTGTCTGGCTTTAGAATGCAAGATCCTTGTGCAGGGACATGTCTTTCTTGCTTCTACCAAAAGGTCTGGCACATTTTTAAGGCCCTTTTTGCACACCCACCCACCCACCAGTATATTGCCATTGGTGATGGCAATACACTTGAACTGCTCAACACGCCCAACAGATCCCTGCAGCAATGAAGCAGCAGAGTCCAAAGTACTCTGTTCTGCTCTTTAAAGAACAAAAGCCCTGCTTAAACATTTCCCTGCAAATAGAAAGCTAAGCATGAGCTGGGTTAGATGTTTCTTCCCCAGTTTTCTGTCTGATTACCTTATTTTTTTTTGTTTTTACACAAGGGGGAAGCATTCACAAAGGACATCCCCAATCTGAAGTGGTACGGTCCACTCTGCACCTCCAGATTCTCCCATCTCATTCTGCTGCAGGTGTCAACCAGGTCCTTTCTATGAAGAGTCCCATGTGGTCTTCATCTGACTTTTGTGGTAGAACTCAGTACCTCTTCTTGATAGGCTGTACACCATTGCCCATTCACATCTCACTGTGTCCTGTGCAAGTACAGTGGTACCTCTGGATGCGAACGGGATCCGTTCCGGAGCCCTGTTCACATCCTGAAGAAAACACAACCTGCGTCTGCGCGTGTCGCAATTCACCACTTCTACACATACGTGGGACATCATTTTGAGCGTGTGCGCATACGGTGAAACCCAGAAGTAACGCGTTCCGTTACTTCCGGGTCGCCGCGGAGCGCAACCTGAAAACGCTCAACCTGAAGCAACTTTAACCCAAAGTATGACTGTACAGTGGTACCTCTGGTTACATATTTAATTCGTTCTGGAGGTCCGTTCTTAACCTGAAACTGTTCTTAACCTGAAGCACCACTTTAGCTAATGGGGCCTCCCGCTGCTGCCGCACCGCCGCCACGCGATTTCTGTTCTCATCCTGAAGCAAAGTTCTTAACCTGAAGCACTATTTCTAGGTTAGCGGAGTCTGTAACCTGAAGCGTATGTAACCCGAGGTACCACTGTATCCTGAAGCTTTCTTGTGGGAGGGGCAGGGCACACATTTTAAAGCAATTTTCTAGTTGTCTTAATGATGCCTCATGGATCACTGGCAGAGCGTCTGCTTTCCATGCAGAAGGCTCTAGGTTTAATTTCTAGCATCTCCCGGTAGGGCTGGGAAAATTCCCCACCTGAAATTCTGGAGAGTTGCTGGCAGTGAATGGAAACAGGACTGAGCTAGAATGACCAGTGGTCTGGCTCAGTACAAGGTAGCTTCTTATGTTCCTACTGCAACTGGCTTTTGGCTGCTGTGTCAAATAATGTTCCACTACAACACAGCAGGGACTGTGTTGTCCCAATGGGAGTTCTTGCAAACATATAGAAAATATACGTGCCACAAAAATTGGAGCCTTTCACTCAAGGAAAGGTGGTGGTGGAGGAGCAGAATTGTATTGTGCCCGGTAAAACAAGCATGGCTACTCAAATGCCAAGTCAAGTACTCGATGCTGTTCCCTGTAGTTCTCAAAGGAGACCTTAGAAGCTGCTATACTTTTACAGTTTTAAAATCAGAAGGTGTGATAGGGGTTATGGGTGCCTCACGATGTTTCATTTAGATCTTGATACAGCCTTCTTGCCCCATGGATTCATCCACTTGTGGTGCCCTCAAGCTGGTCGCCAAAGCCCTGCTCCCGTCTAACTTAATGTGACCAGCAAGAACGAAGAGAGAACTCATAAGCTCATAGAAAGACAAGATGCTTTGGCTTAAATCTTTTAATATAAAAATTCACTGATGTACAAAAATGCTAAAATGTGACAAACTGTTCAAAATACTGGGATCGACTCTCCTGTTACACGGCTGTTGAAAAACAAAAACAAAAGCCAAACTGAACTTGGTTAAGAAGCAGTGAAATGTACATACATCACACCTCACTGTCTACTCAAGAGCAAATGGCATCTCCAGCTGGCCTCCCTGGGTGGCAGGCTACTCTCGATGCACCAGCACAAACAAGCCCAGTAGAAAGAGGACAGTGTACTGTGGGGGGAAAAGACAAAAGGATTTGAGCTGCCAAACACACTTACAGCTTAGGTATAAGAATGCACAATCGTGATTTGTAGAATAGAATGGATGACAGGCTACTATACAGGATCTCAAGATTTCATAGAATCACAACATCCCAGCTTAACAAAACAAAAACAAAAAACCTAACAGTAATGCCTTTAAAAATGTGGGCTGGTTTTTTTTCCGGGGGGGGGGGTGTTGTTTTTGTTTTATTTTGATTATGTACCAGTAATTTCGGTTTTTATATTGTGATTTTATCCTGTGAACCCACTGAGACTTGTGGGTATAGAGTGCAACAACAACAACAACAACAACAACAACGCTCATCAAGGTGGCAAACTAATACCTGGCCAGTGGACCATACCACCACCTTCAGACTGCAGGTGGGGTTTACGTGATGGGATCAAACCCACCACTCCCTGTTCGGAGTTTTGGGCTGGGTTGACATCAGTATGCCGATGACACCCAACTCTATCTGTTGATGGATGGCCATCCTGACTCGGCCCCAGACACACTGACCAGATGTTTGGAAGCTGTGGCTGGATGGTTACATGGGAGCCGGTTGAAGCTAAATCCTTCGAAGACAGAGGTCCTGTGGCTGGGACGGGGCGATATGGGATTGGGGGGGCAACTCCCATCTCTTGCGGGGGCGCAATTAGTGCCAGCACCATCCGTTAAGAGTTTGGGTGTAATCTTCGACACCTCCCTTTCCATGGAGGCGCAGATTGCAGCTATAACAAAGGCGGCATTTTTCCATCTCCGCCAAGCTAAGCAGTTGGCTCCTTACCTCTCTCGCCCTGACCTAGCCACTGTGATCCACGCGACGGTCACCTCCAGACTGGATTATTGTAACTCGCTCTACGTGGGGCTGCCCTTGAGACTGACCCAGAAACTCCAGCGGGTGCAGAATGCTGCAGCGAGACTCCTTACGGGGTCTTCGCTGCGAGATCACATTCACCCGGTGCTACACCAGCTGCACTGGCTCCCGGTGGAGTACAGGATCAGGTTTAAGGTGCTGGTTTTAACCTTTAAAGCCCTATACGGCCTAGGACCCTCGTACCTACGGGACCGCCTCTCCTGGTATGCCCCACAGAGAAACTTACGGTCTTCAAATAAAAACATCTTGAAGGTCCCAGGCCACAGAGAAGTTAGGCTGGCCTCAACTAGAGCCAGGGCTTTTTCGGCTGTGGCTCCGATCTGGTGGAACGCTCTGTCACAAGAGACCAGGGCCCTGCGGGACTTGACATCTTTCCGCAGGGCCTGCAAGACAGAGCTCTTCCACCAGGCCTTTGGCCAGGGCACAGCCTGACTCCCTCCCTCGGCAATCTTCGCGGAGCTCTGGCCCAATAGTTGCCAGTGGCCTGAATTAATTAATTTTATAATGAATGATTTTAGAGTGTTGTTTATGCTACACTTTTATACTGTTTTATTGTTGTTAGCCGCCCTGAGCCCGGCTTTGGCTGGGGAGGGCGGGATATAAATAAAATTTATTATTATTATTATTATTATTATTCTCTCTCTCTTCACAAAAAGCCAGATGTCAAAGGAGAAATGGTTCTAGCTTAGCCTTCATCCTGACTGCGCTAGTTTATTTTTTATTTTTTAATTGAGGGATTTATCATGTAACACCCCCTCCCCCCAATCTGAAGTGGGACATCCCAGGCACAGGGTTATCACCTCCTTGAGGAGCCAGCCTGAAGAGATGCAATGGAAAACGTCTAGAATATGTAGAGTTTCTTTACCCGTTTGGAAGTCAGAGCAAGTCTTAAGTGTGGGGTGGGCTGCAATTCCTTGGCTTTCCCTATCATGCTAAGTCCTCATCAGTGCCTCCCCCCGCCCTATGTATTCTGGCCTTTCCTCACCCCCAGTCCATGCCCAAAGAGTTAAGCAAAGCTCCAAGCTCTGCAAAGGGGGTGGCGGAGAGGATGCTCAAACACTGCGATCACATAATTAGAAGCAGATTCACATTGGCTGATCTGAACATAGCATACAGTGAGCATAACATACAACAATACAAACAAAGAGGTAAAAGACTTCCTTTATCCTGTTTCTGGCCTCCTTATTTACTTCTTATAAGCTGTTTCCTTTATGAATAATTATTAAGCTTTTTCTAATTATAACTTAAATATCCACAAAGTCTCCTGCAGACATTAATTGAAACAAGTCCAGGTATGTATTTTAGGGCACTGTTTTGTGAAGTATTCTCTGCATTTCCCTCATGCTTTTTGAAACTCGTCTAGTGTGATCTCTAATTGCCTCTGCTAATCTAGCCAGTTCAATATACTCTAACAGTTTATCTTGCCATTCCTTTTTTGTTGGCACTGTTTCCTTTTTCCAGTTTTTAGCGGTTAGGATCCTTGCCGCTCCTGTGGCATAGAGGAATATTTTCTGATCTTCTCTTGCTATACCTGTGTCCATTATTCCTAGCAGAAAAGCTTCTGTATTTTTGTTATGTTCATGTTTAATGAGGGTGGATTTGTGTATTGGGTTGTGTTATGTTGTAAATAAAATTCCAATAAAAATTAAAAATAAAATAAAAACACATTGTCTGATCTGTTTAAAAGGGGCTCAGGATCTCTATCTGGGACGGTATCTGACTCACTCATCTTGCACAATGGAACTTCCTGTCCCCTTTCCTCTCCCCATGCGCCCACCCCCCCACCCCACATCTGCTCCACAGGATTGGGGAAACCCTCAGAGCCAATTTAGGGGATATACAGGGGGAGGAGAGGAAGGAATTCTGTTGCACAAGTGGGAAGAACTGTGAAGAACTGCAGAGATCCTGCTAACAATTTTTCTACATAAAAGCTTCCTGCCTAAGGGAGGAGATAATTTCTCTAGCAGATGAACTGCGTGGAAGATCATACCTTAAATTTTGGGTAATCGTTCATAAGGATGGTCACTATTCCAATGTATGGCACAAATCTAAAAAGAAAGAGATTATGCCACTGTTAGACACATTGGGTTGACTGTTGGTTCTGAAGATGCATTTGATAGATAGGACAAGGCTTTGCCCACATGGAGGAAAAACAAGATGGCCGACTCCTGAAATGGTACCAATTCAGAGAGTGGGTAGGGGACTGCAACATTTGCATGCTTCCTCTCCGCAAATTCTGCAAGTTAAAAGTTAGCATATTGAGGGAGAACTTCTACCCCAGCCCCACCCCTTCTGGTGCTAGTTTCTTTTTACAGTGGTACCTCGCAAGACGAATGCCTCGCAAGACGAAAAACGCGCAAGACGAAAGAGTTTTCCGTTTTTTGAGTCGTTCCGCAAGACGAATTTCCCTATGGGCTTGCTTCGCAAGACGAAACGTCTTGCGAGTTCTTGCGAGTTTGTTTCCTTTTTCTTAAAGCCGCTAAGCCGTTAATAGCCGCTAAGCCGCTAATAGCCGTGCTTCGCAAGACGAAAAAACCGCAAGACGAAGAGACTCGCGGAACGGATTAATTTCGTCTTGCAAGGCACCACTGTACTTTTAACAAAGAGGAATGTTAAAAAATGTGAGGCAAAGACTGACAGCTTCACTGGAAATTGAACATGCAAGGTATGCTACACATTGTCCCCTGCTGGCTCATAGCTTACCCTCTTGCTCGCCCCACCACGTCTTTCTTCTCCAGCCAGTGCTGGCCTTGCTTGTACAAGCCTCTGTCATCAACAGCATTATTGTCACCCTTCGTCAAGAACTTGATGTCTCCGTTTTGTCTTAGGGAGGGAAAACCAGAGTTAGGTAGCTGCTGAAGGGCAACCAAGGAAGAATCCAGCAACTTTTTTTAATAAAAAAAAAACTGGTGTGCCTCTTATTCCTCTGGACAGGATGCCATTGTACAACAGGGTTACAGATGTGTGCAAAGGTCAGAAATGTAACAAAACATGCCTGCCCAGAGAGAGAAAATGAATGGGATGCAATTCTGGGAGAGATTCTACAAAATTATCATTACTGATTTTCATTTCGTTTATTAGTTACTTCTCATGAGACACCCCAAAGCAATTGGAATATAAATTATGCACATTCAGTCTTAGACAGCCATGTTGCATGCACTCCTGCACAAACACAAACACACACACACACTACTGGGATACTCTGTCAGGTCCAGCAGACTACAGGGTTTAAGGGATGTTGCAAAGCTAAAGGACAGAGAAAATGTTATCAAGTCAAGCAATTGGGGAGGGGATCACATTAAAAGTAGTTCCTATCAAAAGACAGACAATTTATTTGGTCACTGCATATATACTTTCATGAGAATAGATGTGAGAGGCCTTCTTATAAACATAGAACGCAAGATCCAATAAACAGTCCAATAAACTCAGCAGGGGACGACGGGGGGACAGGAACAGCAGCATTCATCCAATAAACTGTGCCGAAGCATAAAATAGCCATGGTTTAGATTCCACAGCTATTCCAGAACTGCAAATACCCCCACTAAGCCAAGGACAGAATGCTATTTCCTGTGTTATTTCCAAGGCAGCCAAACACGTTCAGATATCACACACCCTTATCTTGTGATCTTTAAAGGATCAGGAAGCAGCTTCCTCTTCTCTTCAAGCACTGGACTTAATAAAACTATTCCAGGTTTAACCAAACTAGTTTGCTGATCTGAATCAGTAACCAATTTCAAAATGAGGATCAAATCATGACTGCACTCCTGGTTCAGAGGGTTTGCTCAAGCCAACTTGATGGTTTGGATGCAATGGCAGGCTGCGGTTTGTTCAAACCACAAAGTAACAAATGAAACTGAGCATAGAAGAGGAGAAGGGATTGCACAAGAACAGAACTTATTCTCTATCCTCTAAACCATGGTAATGTGACATCTGAACGCAGCCGCTGTCTGGGAAAGGATTCCAGCATCAAGCGACATGTCAACAGACTTTTGCAGCGACCGCCATCCAGAAAGGCACACGTACTTTTCATGAATTTTCAAAACCCGATGCACTATTGGAATTTCCCTTCCTTCTATCCTAAAGACCACGATTTCGCCCACTCTGATTGGCTCCTCGATACGATTGGTTAAGAACAGGAGATCTCCTCTGTGAAATGCAGGCTCCATACTGCCGCTGGAAGACAAAGCCATCGGTTAATGAGCACAGCGTTTATGTCCTGAGATATCATCACCCAGGGTGGTTTTGAAGGGCTACAGGACTGCTAGAATGGACTAATCTACACCAGCTATCACTTTAAGAATGAAACACAGCGGGAATCTTCATGTGCATGCAAATGAATACTCCCGGGAATCTAATTCCTCATGTGCTGCTATTAAGGGGCTATTATTGATTCTCTCCATCACCAGCATTATTTTATCCCAGGCACTGCTAGGTCATTACTTATGTCTGGGAAATGGCAAAGTGATTCAAAATCCTTAACCTTTCAAATTTTACAATAATTGATCTAGTGCAGGCAGAGATGCTGAACTTTGTAAGCATTGTGCATCTGTATGTTATGCCTCCAGTTGCCAGGAAATACTGACATTCTGACAAGGAAAGCAAAGACAAAGAGGGAGTCTTCTGGCATCTCATTTCAAGTTCCGGCAGAAGATCTGCAGATAGTGCAAGCCATTAGCCATATGGGATGTAAGCTTAGGGATAAAGCTTCGGAATATTATTTGGCCATTGCAATCTTCATCAACCTGGGGCCCTCCAGATGTTGTTGGGTCTACAACTCCCATCAACCCTTACAGAAAACAACTACATCTGAATGGCCCCAAACGGGGGAACATCGGCCTACTGTCTAAGACCAGGGTTTTCTTCAGAGCTGCTTCTTCCTGTATAAACATTTTAGAGACAATTGCACAGCATCTGAAGCCCTTCTTACAGTCCCACCATTGATGGAGGTTTGGCTCATAGAAACACAAGAGATGGCCTTCTCAGTAGTGGCCCCATACTGTGGAACAACACTCTCAGATGGGTGTATTTGGTATCCTAAGACCTTTTCAGTGTGTGTGTGTTTTTAATTAAAGTATTTTAGGATTTGTTCCATCTTTAAGGACTTTGTTTATATTTTAATCAGTTTTATTGTTAGGGTATTGTTTAATTTTGTTTGTTGTTGTATGTCTTGTGTCTGCATCACAAAGAAAGCTGGTATAGACATGTTATCGTAAGTATAGGCAGCAAATGTTTTAGGTGTGTCCGATATGTGCACAACCACACAAGCGTGCATCATGTCGAACCAGGAAGTGGCCCTAAAATGTCACAAAAAGAGGGAAGAACAAGGTATAAGAAGGCTTTTCCATGGGTGTTCTGCTAAGAAGCTATTTCACACCATCGTGCTATGACCCAGAATGCAACCCCCGCGCAAATGGGGAGTTGCCTGTATATAAAATCCAGCCCATCTGAAGCTCCTTTACTGTACTGCCACACCTGACAATGGGAACTTTTCCAAGAAGTAATGAGCTCCACAGGAGTCCTTGACATGTTACACTCTTGTCCATGAGTCCATCTCATGGCACAGCTGTTAATGTTTAAAGCAGGGATGGGGAACCTGTGCTGTCCAGATACTGTTGGACCAGGACTCCCATCATCCCTGACCAATGCACAGAAGCTGGAGGCCAAGAACATCTGGAGGGCTGAAGGTTCCCCATTAAGTGGACCCAACTGCGTGCAGAAAGCAGAGAGATAAAAATTCACAAGGCCTTCTATCTTTGCAGCTAAAAGAGCCAGAAAAGAAATACACCGCCAGCTCTCTCAGGACAGTCTGTACTGAGGAAGCCAGGAAGCTGCACTTTATTGCGCCTTTTATTCTTCCCTGCCAGCTGACTTGGACTACTGATCTCTTGGCAGCCTTTCTTTTCATTTCATACGCATTAATATATGGGTAGGAAGAAACGGATCTTGGCTCTTCTCAAGCTGTGGGTCCATGTTTTCCCTTTTATGTAACAGTTTAGTACTTATTATTCACCTTGCTGGCTCCATTAGAGTAGCAGCTTCAAAGGCAGCTGTAGAAGACCTAGGTAACCCTGGGAATCTATCCTGGAGTATATGAAGATCTGCCAGCATTAGCCCAACTATTTTACTACTATAATCAAGCTATCAGAAACCCCATAGCTCAAGTGGCCACCAGTGGAGATGGTCTGGCCTACCTCACAGCAAAATGCAGGTTCAGAACTCTGGATAGCTTTACTGTCTCTTTCTGCTCTGCAGCCCCAGTTTTAAGCCCAACCCGCTCCCATTAAAAGGGCCTCAGGAGGCACATCTAGGAAAGTATTACACTGAAAGTCTTTGTGGTCTGCTGTCAATCAAACTAGACAACACTGGACTAGATAGCCCAAGGAGCTGACTTCATATGAATAGATATGTTCATATTCCTAGAATGCCTCCCCTCAAGGGCTAATTACTCTCTTCTTCAAACAATCTCTCCCTCCCTACATTAAAAGTGTAATGCCTATCTTGAAAAATACAGTTTACTTAGTAACGGACAGGCCCTTTTGCACTCTGTCACCCAAGAAACGCACCCCCTACGTGGTGGGCTTTTGAATATTTTGGGGTTTGCACCCTGCCTTTTTACAGATGTTTGAATAGCAGTTTCTTGCTATTCTGGGTTTCATAGGCCCTTCTGTCAAGATGGCAGTGGTGAAAGGGTCTATGCTGGTTGGCAGAGGCCATGCCCAGAAGATGCTCCAGCCCAGACAAGCCATTCCAGGCTATCTGAGCTCCAGCAATCCTTGAGGTCTCACCCTGCAACCAGAGATTCCCAGCACAGTTTTACCTAAGCACGACCACGATGGGGCTTTCACTGCCCGTTGCCACCATCAGCCCCTTCCAGATCATCAGCGCTGAGGAAACGATCATCCCAAAGTTCAGCACCTGGTAATACAGCTGGGAGGGGGTGAAGGGGACAAGGGTGAGGTAGGCACTGAGAACACAAAAGCCACCCCACTGCCCAAGATACATAGGCACAAAGATCTCTCTCAAGAGAAACCCCACTCCAAAAAGCCCACCCTGCTTTCTTTAACTGTAGTTGGCAAACTTGTTTCATCTGCAAGTCCCATCACTGTCAACAGCACTACTTGGGAGTAAGTGGAGTGCAACCAGCAGCTTGCCTGGACATACAATTACATTTGAATTCTCAAGCACTGTTAAAACAGTGGAACCCAGTTCAAATAAAGTGGTTTAAACTGATAGCTTTAAATATTCTGAGACTCAATATTGTCTGAAGGTCAACATACTGGATCTGAATTTTAATGCCTATGCCCACTTTTGCACTAATCACACATCAGACCTGGAGGGTCGGTCATGGGTTTTGTAGCCCTTTGCCCCAAAACAGTTAGCCACACTTGCCCTTCAGTGCTTTGCTGACTTCTTGGGGGATACTGAAGACTAGTTTGTGCACAGTGGCCAGTTAAAGGACTTCCAATCTTGCAGCAGGATGTTGGGACTTTGGATGGTTTTATAGGCGCTCTGTGCTAACAGCTCAACTCTTCCTGTATCTGTATTCTTTTCAATTGGTAGCACTTAGTTCTAAATAAACAAGCATGAGTTCATATTGCATGGCTTCAATCCTTTGCAACGGAAGCAGGCTCCACTAAACACAGCAGGCCTTACTTCCAAATTGCCTTATCTACAATCTGTTTGCTCTTAATCTCCAGTTGAGCAGAGCAAAAGGAAAAAGCATCCTTTACCTGGACAAACCAAGTGGGAGCAAGTCTGATCCAAGGTGGGTCACAACAGCATTATCACCATGCAATGATGCAAATATATGGTAAAAGATTAAGAAATCTGTCCCCAAATTCATGCTTGGTTAAAGGTAAGTTCAAGGTTGGAAAAGGTTGAAGATACCTGCCAAACCCCATTTCAAAGCCATCTAAGGCCAATTATAAGCACATACTGTATTGAAATCAATGGGGTTTCTTTCTAAATAAAGATGTTTAGCCTCAGGCTGTAAGCCAGGGGAGGCACATCATCAAATTTCCTAAGATTGCCACCTTAGACACGACTGACTTCTGAGTAAAATTGCTTTGCACACAGCAAGTGGCATACTACTTGAAGTACGGTCCCTCCCTAACATGCAATTTTAATTGACAGTGCACAGCATCATAAAAAGGATTTCACTGCAAATCAAGACTACAAAGGATCAGGGAGCAGCTCATTTTGAAAGACTCTGGAAATCCATTGCTTGTCAAATCAGACATCACTGAGCTAGATAAACATACAAGTGTCAACCTAGCAGAAGGAAGCTCCCTGTGCTCTTAAAACAATGTGCTATGTGAAGAGGGCCCATTGCGTAGGGGGAAAGCCACAAACCAACAGGCAAAGGACCTGCTTTGCATGCGCAAGGTCCTAGGTTCACTCTCCAATGGCATCTTCAGGTTGGGGGAGGCTCCTTGCCTGAAGACCTCAAAGAGCTACTTATTGCCTGTTAGTACTGACAATAATGAGCTAGATGGACCAGTGAGAATCCTGACTCCCAGCTTCCTATGCTCTATGTCAGTGGCTCTCAAAGGTTGTGGTAGGAAGATTCAAGGGCAATCAAAGAAACATTCAAACATTTCAGTGTAGTTTAGCACAGTACAGTAGTACCTCGTGTTACGTACTAAATCCGTTCCGGAGGTCCGTTCATAACAGGAAACTGCCCGTAACATGAGGCGCGCTTTCTCCAATGGTGCCTCCCGTTGCTGCCGTGCCGCCGGAGCGCGACTTCCGCTCACATCCCGGGACAAAGGTTGCAACAAGGGGCATCTACTTCTGGGTTAGCGGAGCACATAACCCACAGCATTCGTAAGGGGGGGCGGTACGTAACACGAGGCACCACTGTATCAAAATAATTATTTTTATTTGCAGAATGTGCCCAGATATCTTTTCAAAATGAGAGCAAGAGCACCATGTGATACCGAGGACAATCCTAGCTGTGTTCTCCAATGTACAGTGGTACCTCGGGTTACAGATGATTCAGGTTACAGACTCCGCTAACCCAGAAATAGTACCTCGGGTTAAGAACTTTGCTTTGGGATGAGAACAGAAATTGTGCCCCGGCGGCAGCAGGAGGCCCCATTAGCTAAAGTGGTGCTTTAGGTTAAGAACAGTTTCAGGTTAAGAATGGACCTCCAGAACGAATTAAGTACTTAACCCGAGGTACCACTGTATTTATAATGAATAAAAAAGTTGGTGTGGTGTGAGCAAAGTTTGAGAACCACGGCTCTATGCTGTCTGTCCTAAATCTATGGCCAGCGAGGTTCTTCCATCACTAGGTGGCTCCTCCCTGCCTCCAAGTTCTGCCATTAAGGAAGGGAGGGATATCAAAGTCTAGTTTTGATTCTGTTAATGTTTAATTGTTTTTTAAATGATTCCCCCCCCCCCGCCTCCCCTATGTTCTTAGCTTTTCTTGGTTTTATCTGCAAGTCGCCTTGGGTCCCTGTCAGGGAAAAAGGCGGGGTTTAAATTAATTAATCCTCCTCCCCCCTCCAGGCGACCCCTCAGGCCTTTGATCCTACGAGGCTACACAACCCCTCCCCCCACCCTTTTCTCCCCCCTCCCCCCTCCGGGGCTGCGGCTCCCCTCCCCCCCCCCTCAGGGGCTGCAGCTCCCCTCCCCCTCCCTTTTCTCCCCCCTCCGGGGCTGCAGCTCCCCTTCCCTCCCCCCTTCCTTTTCTCTTTCCCTCCCCCCTCCCTCGTGGCCCTCGGGGGAAGGCGGGTCCCCGTCCCCTCCGGGCGTCCGCGCGCACCTGCCGCTTATTCATCCGCCGAACATCGTCTAAGAAATCCAGAGAAAGCATCACGAGGGGACTTGGGGAGGGAGAGGTGGGGGGGAACAAAAAAAATGCCAGCACCGGGGAAACCAATGGAGCCCCGCACTTCCGCTTCCGGTCGCCTGACACCGCTTCCGCCCAGCCCGACCATGGAGATCCATTCCCCAGAGCGGCCCGAGGGAAGCTGGTCCTCCCCGCCCCGCCCCTCCCGGAGCTGCACGCGCGGAGGAAGAGGAAGGCAGAACGTTTAAGAAACCGAGGCGCTTATTTTAAAATATGATTTTTTATTAAATTTTGTTTTACAATTTCAGATAAACATTTCCCATATTTGAGATATCCATGACTTCCCTTCTTCTCTTTCCATGGTCCATTTTATATACATATTTTATACCCCTGCATATTATTATTATTATTATTATTATTATTATTATTATTTATTTATTTATACCCCGCCCATCTGGCTGAGTTTCCCCAGCCACTCTGGGCGGCTCCCAATCAAGTGTTAAAAACAGTACAAAAACTACATTTATTATCAATCGGTTTTCCATTATTGCATCCATCAAAACTTATTTACACTGTTGAATTTATCTTAATGTTGCCAGCGTTTTCAGCTGTACACAATTATTTTCCATATATTCAACAAACGTTTTCCAAACGTCTTTCAAGGTAGGTTCTTCTTGTTCTCTTATTCTATATGCCAAGTCTGCAAGTTGTGCATATTCTGTCAACTTAAGTTGCCATTCTTCTTTGGTTGGGACCTGGCTCATACTCCATTTTGGGTCTAACAAAACACAGGCTGCAATTGTTGCACATATAAATAACATTTCCTGACGCCTGGGGAAATTTCAATCTCAATTATCCCCAACAGACAGGACTGTAATTTTAAGCATTTTTTTTCAATTCATTATAAATCATTTCCCAATATTCATTTACCCTTTTGTATGTCCATCACATATCAAATAACATTCCCTGCACCTCTACACTTCCCAGAGGTGCTTTTGTGTGTGTGTGTGTGTGTGTGTGTGTGTGTGTTCGTAAATTATGGGCTCACAGAGCGCATTTCCTTTTTTATTGCAGTGGTTTGGAGAGCATTTATGAATTTCCCATCCTGTCCAAAGAGGTAAAGGAGCAGTGTTCTGTGCTCCTCCTTTATTAGCACAACATCCCTGTAAAGTAGGCAAGGCTGAGACCTGAAGGTCGCCCAATGATCACCAAAACTGCTCTGTTGCAACTCCCAGTGGCAGCTCCACCCATTTGCAGTGAGGAGAGACAGCAGGGCTTGTTCTGTTTGCTTCACTGGGGCTGGTTGGTTGGCATTGGGCTTTTCTTGCAAACCTAGCTGCAGCCGAGGTAAAGGAGGCATGGAAGAATGTAAGAAGTATTAAGAAGCAGTGTCCCTTCCATTAACAGTTTGGAGACTTGCATTTGCTTGTTTCCTTCTTCCTCCAAATTGCCCCAATGTATCGTGTTTCTTGCATTGTATGCCCAAGGGTAGGGCCTGTAAAGGTAAAGGGTAAAGGGACGCCTGACCATTAGGTACAGTTGCGGACGACTCTGGGGTTGTGGCGCTCATCTCGCTTTATTGGCCGAGGGAGCCAGCGTATAGCTTCCGGGTCATGTCACCAGCATGACTAAGCCGCTTCTGGCGAACCAGAGCAGTGCACGGAAACGCCATTTACCTTCCCGCTGGAGCAGCACCTATTGATCTACTTGCACTTTGACATGCTTTTGAACTGCTAGGTTGGCAGGAGCAGGGACCGAGCAACGGGAGCTTACCCCGTTGCGGGGATTCGAACCGCCGACCTTCTGATCAGCAAGTCCTAGGCTCTGTGATCTAACCCACAGCGCCACCCTATTTGCCAAAAATCTGTCTACGGTGCTTGTTTTAGGTACTTTAAATAATAATGAAGTATAAATTAAGAGAAGCAACTGAATATTTGTCAGGTCTCCCAAAATCAAGTCCAGCCTTTTAACTTGCGAGAAGTGGGGTTACAGGGGACCAGGCAGAGGGCCTTCTCGGTAGTGGCGCCCGCCCTGTGGAACACCCTCCCATCAGATGACAAGCAAATAAACAACTATCTGACTTTTAGAAGACATCTGAAATTTTTAATGTCTGTTTTACAATTTTTAATGTGTTGGATGCCGCCCATAGTGACTGAGGGAACCCAGCCAGATGGGCAGGGTATAAATAATAAAATTATTATTAATATTATTAAACCTCTACACAATATTAGTGTTATGTGATGAATTGGGAACTGTAAAAGGAGATTAGTAAATGAATCTTGATGGCTGCAGAAACCTACACCCCCCATTTAATAAAATGAAAACAATATTGCTATTATTTCTGGTAATTATGTTTTAAGAGCAGAACAACACAATGCACCTTGTGCTCCATTAGTTTTAATCTTGGACAGGCAGAAAATTATCAGGTGGAGCCTCATTGCTGCTGCTCCTATCTACTTTCTGCTTGTCGTAATGCATTTAAAAGATAGGAGCCCCGATATGTAAACATCATGCTTTTGGGCCCAGTGCAGTCGGGCCAGGATCAGTGTAATACGCTCAAACCATCTTCTCCTGGTGAACAACCTGGTCATCCAAATCTGTACCAGCTGAAGTTTCCAAACTCTATACAGAGACACATTGCAGTAATCTAGCCTAGAGGTTATCAGAGCACAGATGACAGAAGTTAGGCTATCCCTGTCCAGATAGGGGTGCAGCTGGAGGAATGCAGTCCGCACCACTGAGGCCACCTGAGCCAAGGATCTAGGAGAACCCCCAAGCTATGAACCCGCTCCTTCAGAGGGAGTGCAACCTCATCAAGAGCAGGCCACCTCCCATCTATCCAGTCTAGGGAACCGCCCACTAACAGTACCTCCGTCTTATCTGGAGGTCTTATCTGGAGGTCTTATCTTATCTGGAGGTCTTCGTCTTATCTCCGTCTTATCAGTTTGTTGGCTCTCATCCAATCCATTACCGAGGCAATACATTAAGTAGACTGAAATCTGAGAAGGAACTTAATGGTGGTGGGATCAGTTCGGTTCGAGGAACTGGCCTTATGGAGGAACAATACACAATGCAGTATTATGCGAAGATGCCATAAGCAGTATTGGAAATAATGTATCTAAAGCAGTGTATTAGTCTTGGTTGAGATTATTGCATCAGACTTTTTTTTAAAAAAAACGGGGTGATTATGTTGGAACAAAAACAGGAGTCTTGGGACTGTTTAACCTGACTTAATGCAACACACTCATATGTCACTCATGTTAAACTCCTGCCGTAAGACTCTTGATGGTTTTGCTGTAATAGACTATTAAGGCCACACTGCTGGAATCATATTGGAGAGCATTGCCATTTTGGTTCATAGCTGGAGCTACTGCAGATTTCTTTTTGGAAAGGGCATATACTGTACAAGGGTCATGAGCTTGCCTCTGGAACACTAAATGCGTATCTAATATTCAGGTGCGCATGTAACTGCATAAGAAACCCAAATTATCTACTGGCTGGAGAGGGATCATGTTTCCAATTGCGCAACCTCATATTTATTGGGGAGCAGGGATATGTTGATATTGGCAGCCGTTAAATCTGACAGAAGCATTCAGATGCTACCTCTGACAAGTCACCCTCTCCCCACTTTGCTAGCAAATCTTTCTAGATTTTATTGCATGGGAGATGGAATCTGGAGGCATTAAAGTAGGGTAAGGTAAAGGTAAAGGGACCCCTGACAAATAGGTCCAGTCGTGACCGACTCTGGCGTTGTGGTGCTCATCTCGTTTTACTGGCAGAGGGAGCCGGCATACAGCTTCTGGGTCATGTGGCCAGCAGGACTAAGCTGCTTCTGGCGAACCAGAGCAGTGCACGGAAACGCCGTTTACCTTCCTGCCGGAGTGGTACCTATTTATCTACTTGCACTTTGGAGTGCTTTCAAACTGCTAGGTTGGCAGGAGCAGGGACCGAGCAACGGGAGCTCACCCCTTCGCGGGTATTTGAACCGCCGACCTTCTGATCTGCAAGCCCTAAGCTATGAGGTTTAACCCACAGCGCCACCCATTAAAGTAGGGTATGGCAATGAAATTCAGCTGAGCCTTCCCAACTGCTGAATGTTGGCAAGCTGCAATTGTATACACTTACCTGGGAATAAATCCCACGGAGCACAGCAGAACTTACCTTTCGAGTAAAACATGCATAGGATTAAACCGCTAGAAAACTAAAAAGGAGGGTGGGAGAAAACCAGGACACAACATAAAACTGCTAAAAGCCGCAAGTGACAGGAGCAGATTGCACACCATGCGCTTATTGTGCTGCTAGACCCATGTGAGATCTTCTCATGCGGCAAATTTCATAAAACAAGAGAAGGCAAGAGAACAGTCTCCCTAGTAATAGCTGAGAGTTAAGATCCAAAGTCTTTGCTGCAGGGATATCACGGATAAAGACGCCCACTGAGGGCATCTTCTCATCATGCACAGCATGAATGACAGCCTTGATGGGAAGAACTGAAAGGAACTGCCTGCCTTTGACCCCAGTCATGGCCCCCAAACCCTGAACTCAGGAGGGTGGGGAAGGAGCCGTTGCTTCCTTAAGGGGGGGCTTGTTGCCCCACACATGGAAGAACCACAGTGTTAGAGAATGGAGCCTGGCAGCCACACATTGTTAGATGGTTTTATTTGAAATACTTTGAAGTAAACATTATAGCAAGGCACAAATGCCACTGCAGATTAAATAGATATGTGATGGCTTGGGAGGGACACCCCCCTCCCCACCCCCTGCTATTGTTACTATAGCTAGGCTACCTTGTAAAACATTCCCTAGACTAAAATGTACACAGTATCAAAAAATACAAAGGGTTTTATCAAAACACATTTCAGACGAGAAAGTGAGCAATTCAAATGCAATAAGATAAATAGGGTTTTTTTCCTTTTTTAAAATTATTTATAGTAAACAATGAGCAGGGTTCAGACTCAAAACATAAAAACCGTATAAAAAAAGTTAAGTATTACACAAAGCATGAGGATCAGCACAGGTGAGGGGAAAACGGCACAGACGGGGGAGACGAGTCAATGCAAGTGTGGAAAGGAAACTCCAGAATCAATTCGGCCAATTGAGCAAAGGTGGGAGGGGCAGGGAAGAGATATAATGTAGTTCCTCAAGAGCAGGAGCACTTGGAAGAAAACGAGGCAGGGAGATATCTTGGAGCAAGCGTCTTCATGTCCTCACTTTGGTGGGGGTGATCTGGGAAGCTCCATTCTGAAACGACGATAGGCGGCTGGCCATGCTATACTTGGCAGCTGGATATGTCAACAGACAGACAGGTTCTGCTTCCTTGAATACTGCTTCTCCTGCAGCGCCCTTTTCACAGACTGAAATTCTTACGGGACGATCCTGCTCTGGCTGATACAGCAAGAGAAGGATCCAAACACAGGCAGAACAATATACTAAGCTTACAAGGAAGGAGAATCTTGAGACTCTGGGCCGGATCACACAGGGCCTGAATGGGCAGCTTAGGCATGAGAGACGACGTGGGAGCAAACCCTCTAGTGTAGACATTTAATCGTGCAGAATTTTTTCACGTATGCAACCCAATTCTTATTTAGAAGTCATATGCCCAGTGAGAGAAAGGCACCCTGCAGTCTATCATATATGTCACTAATACTCCCAGGCCAGGTATGTGCATGTGGGATAATTAGTGAAAGCTTGTACTTTGGCTTGCAAGAAGCTCCAGCACAACCCGGCCCAGTTCTGAACACAGGAGAGCTCCAATTGGGGCCAACGCTGAGGCTGATTATTGTTTAAAACACAGTGGGAACCTAGAAACTCCATTTGTGCAAAATTTAACCCACGTAAGGTGAATGTTTAGTGGCACCAAATCTCTTCTAGAAAAAAAAAAGACCAATTTTGTTTTTGTGTTCTGCATGGGTGGAGGACCAGACTCACGGAGTGCCTGAAAGGTGAAGCCAGCATGATTTTAGGGAAGGAAAGCCTCTGTGGATTCACATCTCAAGAGAAAAAGTGTTGACGCAGGCTTTGCAGCCCAGACAGAATGCCTGGCAGGCTTGGGTAAGGAACTGAAGTGGAAGGCAATGCTTGTTATGAAAAAAAGAAGAAGAGGAGGAAAACTGAGGTGGAACTGTTGGCTGAGGCCTTTAGTGGGACAAGAGTGGTCCTGCTGTTCCTGGAGGGGGGGGGGGAGAGACACACACACAAAGCAGAAAAGTGCTCCTGACCCTGAAGGTTCAGACATGGTTCAGCTGGACATCCTCATCACATTCTACTTCCCCCTCTCATAATTGTTACATATTCAGTGCTACAGAGACGGTGGCAGTTTGCCGTTTTGATTTCCCTTCCTAATTAAAGTGAATGGAATGCCGCGCCCATTCCATGAAATGAACAGCGTGTTTAAGAACCCCACCCCCCCTCCAATCAACATTTAGAGTGAGGCAAAACACGCTCTTTAAATATTTGGAGATTTGGGGTGTTTGTTCTGCGTGCTGGGCTTTTCTGCATCACAGGACGTGGGGTCGCCCTCAGAGTCCTGGCTCTTTGAACCACCTCCTTCCTCGTCCGCAGTGTTCATCTTGCCATTCGGCTCTGCAAGTCCGTTCTCGCTTGTCTCCATTTGCTGAGCCTCTTTTTCAGAATCTGGCTCAGGTTCAGGCTCCTCCTGTTCCTCCTCCGGATCTTTCACTTTATGAACAATGAAGAGGTGCCTGTTCAGAGAGATGTGAGACGTGTAGCACAAGCCGCAGAGCTGGCACTGGTACGTGGAGCTGTCCGTCTTGTGCCGAGGTATGTGTTCCAGAAATTCACTCTCAGCGGCCGTTGCAAATCCACACTTGGCGCACTTCCAGTGTGCCTTCAGTTTTTTTGCTGGTGGATCTTCAGATCCCGATGCCGTAGTTTCCGTTTGGTCCAAACCACCTGCAGATACCCTCTTTGGATATTTTGCCTAGGAAATGAACACATGGCTTTATTGCGCCAATCAGCACCATAAGACAACGTTCCCGCCCACCATGGGTGCACTGCGAATACAGAGAGAGATCCCCAAAGGGCATCTTTTCCCAACCAGGAGCCCTCCAGATGCTGTTGGACCACAACTCCCATTGGACCCACCCGCCATGGCCAATGCTCAGGGATGATGGGAGCCCAACAAGACCTGGAGAGCATTCAGTTTGGGAAGGCTGTGTGACGTTAACATATGAGAGTGCTAGAGGTGAAATAGTTAAACAGGTTATCCAATCAGGACCCAGGGGGTGGAGTCAGAGGGACTATAAAACCAGCTTTGGGAGGGGCAAAGAGGGGAGTTTGTTGGGAGTTGGTTGGAGTGTGAGTGAATTGGGATAGAGTCTGTAGGTAGGTTGAGTTAGTGTAGCGAAGTAAGCTGAGTCAGGAATAGTTAGGGGCTAGGAAGACAAGTAAATATCTGAGAGGTGGTTTAGTGAGTGAGAGCAGGTAGCGGAAGTTATAGGTCTGGATAGGCACCCCATGATTGTAATTGACCAATAATGTTTATGAAACCACAGGCTTGTTAAACTGCAATAAATAAACAGAAGTTTATGTTCCAAATTAACCCTGACTGGACTCAGTATTGTACCAGGTAGGGCCTGGATGGTGGCAGCTAGAAATGAAGTGGTGGCACAGGGATCAATAGACGGTGAAACGTCCGGGGACCCTGTGTGATCGCCCAGGCTGCCATAGGGTATCACATCAATGTCCCCTTCCCTGGCCTCCTCGCTTAGCAAACCAAGCCATTATGAGACTGAGGAAGCCTGTGCACAACTCCTGTATCCCTGATCAAGCCTTCTGCCTGGTCAAGGAACATGCTATGCCCGCAGTGGCCTTGCACAGTGCTTTCACTATGATGTGTGTGTGCGGGGAGGAGTGAGAGCACATCAAAATCTCTATTACACCCTATGGAGAGCAGATCCCTTCAGATGTGGGTGCTGTACTCACAGTGGACCTGACCAGGCCATAGACCACTCCCCAGATCTGATCTATTTTTATGCTCGGGATGGGAAGCATGTGGCCTTCTGGAGGTTTCTGGACTGTAGCTTTCATCCTCCCTGACCACTGGCTAAGCTTAATAGGAGTTGTAGTCCAATAACCTCTGGAAGTTTTCCATCCCTGACAGACACACAAATGCAATGGAGCAGCATTTTGGGAGGAGACGGGAAGAAAGATTTAGCAATTGCTGCCACCAATGCTTTGCATAAAAAAGGACAAAAGCTGCTGGAAGTGGATGTTCCTTCCAGGTATCACTAATTGTATTAATTGCCTCATCTGCATTTCATTGTTCTCCATGTGGAAAACTCTCTGTCCCATCTCTAACGATGCCAAAAGATGTCCAACATGACCTGCCACCAGCTCCCTAGAAGCCTCTAATTTCTCTTCACATTCTGCCTGGTTATCTTCAGTTTAATTACTCTATTAGTCCGGATTATAATTTAAGTTTCTTCAGTGCACAGGATTGTAATTTAACGAGGAAACAAGACGAGAGCTAATTTAGAAGAGACATGTGCTCAGAGGATAGAGGAACTAGATGGACTGAAACTTCCCTACATTTTTTTAAAACCACATTTTTAATGGGAGATCTAGCAGTTGAATTCCACAGTCCACACAAGGAGGACAGTTCTTGAAGGAGGCCACACAACTGGGGAGGACAAGCACATGAGATGGAATTACATATTATTTAAGAAAAGCATGGTAGATTACTTTTGTCAAGTCTTCTGCTGGAGCTTTGGTTTTGGATATCTGGGAAAGGTCTGGGTTTTTGATGCCGTGCATGAGGCTGATGTGACTCTCTAGCATGGACAGCTGAGGAAATGTCTGGATTTCATCTGTGCAGTACCTTAAAAATACAAAGCAAAATAGTATCATGATATAAGTAGTATTTCTTTTTCATATTTTTTTTAGAAAATATTTTTACTGGATTTTGGTAATGTGTCTATACAAATATATAAGCAGAAAAAGGTAAAAAGGAATAAAAATAAAATATGCAATAAAAAAATAACAAAAGGAGCAAACAGATTCATGAAAAAGAAAAGGTGTTATATCACACGTTAAAGAGAGGATAAACACAGTTCTTCCACAAATCTATGACATTTTTAAAGATGTCAAGAAGTTAACCCCAAACCTCCCTACATAATGAAGCATGAGCATTATATCAGTAGTATTCCGCCTCTCATCCCTTACCTAGTCTCCTACTTGTCTGTTGGCTCCCCACAACTATCAATATATTGATTGCAAGTTTCTTGGGGCATGGACCTTATCTTTCTGCTTATGCAAGTAGCTCAAAATGGACATTTTTGTTTTGCTTCAGAGGACAGTCATCAAGCCACCTGAACAAATAACCCATTCCAGTTCTGCCCCTTCAAATGGTTTCAAATGTTGTATTATTATTATTATTATTATTATTATTATTATTATTAAAATTTGTATATCATCCATCATCAAAAGATCACAGGGTGGTTTACATTTTAAAAACACAAAAATACCTACCATAATAATAGAAGAAAAACAATAATACATTGGATGACACGAGGCTCTCAAACATTTTTCCTTCTTAGTTACTACAAAAGACCAAAAGCAATCTATGTATACATCCACTTCCAAGAGCCAACTATTTCTATTCCAGCAGCACCATGGCAAACTTGGCCCCCTCTACAGCTCTTCTCTGTACAATGGCAAAGGATAACAACGGCTTCCCTTTTAGAGAATCAATAATTTAAAAAAGAATCAAGCGAGAACAGAATCTGTTTCGTCCGTGAGGGAAATGTCAACATTTGTGTCCACATTAGAACTTTCAAGCCTAAATTGCCAGATGCACTTGTACAACAAAATGTACTGTGTATCAGTGAAAGTCACATTCCTGCTCAGAATCAGAGATCATGGATGTCATGAGAAGATGTGTCACATTTGTGTAATACAGCATTATAAAAGCCTCAATACAAACCTTAACATGCGAGTCTGTTACTAAAGGTGAACATGAAAGGACTGGATGTCCTTATTTTATGCACAGCCGTTTAACTAGCAAAATGTTGGCGTTTAAATACATTTATTCATCAAAATAATAATACTGCAAAACTTTCAAAGCACACATAATTTTACAGAGATACTTTGGAGGTTATGCTTTAGCAGTTAGCTGTAGACTTACAGGAAATGTATTTAGTGGTTTGTCTCATTTGTGTCCTCACCTTTCCCTTCAAATTACTAAGACTAGTCTCTCATTTCATCCACACAACCACCCTGGAAGGCAGTGATATGTTCAAGGTCAGCTTCATAACTTTGAACTTGGATCTCCCACCACCAAACCAGGCAGTCTAGCCACTGGGTAAAAAGGTAAAGGACCCTTGGATGGTTAAGTCCACTCAAAAGTGACTATGGGGTTGCAGTGCTTATCTCGCTTTCAGGTCAAGGGAGCCAGTGTTTGTCCACAGACAGCTTTCCGGGTCATGTGGCCAGCATGACTGAATTGCTTCTGGTGCAACGGAACACCGTGACAAGCCAGAGTGCACGGAAATGCCGTTTACCTTCCTGCTGCAGCGGTACCTATTTATCTACTTGCACTGGTGTGCTTTTGAACTGCTAGGTTGGCAGAAACTGGGAGAAAGCAACAGGAGCTCACCACCGTTGCATGGATTCAAACTGCCAACCTTCCAATCAGCAAGCCCAAGAGGCTCAGTGGTTTAGACCACAGCGCCACCCGCTCCCCTGCTGTGGGCTGTGCCAAGCAGGTGTCTGTGCTAAGTTCGGCATCAATATGGCGAGCCCTGGGGAGCTGAGGTGCGCCAGGTTGCCCAAGGAGGGGTGAACCAGCCCAGGTTGGAGATGGAGCAGGTAAAAACTCCCATGCCGATCAGTAGTGGGACTGTGCCTGTGAATAGCCACTGCAGCCTTACCTGGGCAAGACAGCAAAACCCAGACTCTAACCACTACACCACACTGGCTCCAGCAAAGTTAATATAGAAGGAACTAAGCATTCTACATTTGCTTAGATAGAGCCCAGTGCTTGCATCATCAATGCCTAACGTGCTTCAGTCTTATCATGGAATCTAGCTGTGAAACCTAAAAATGTACCTGAGCTAGTGCAAGATCCTTTGTTCTAAGATATGCCCTAAAAAGCCTTAGATATGGCCCATTACAAAGCACTTTTTTTAGCCTGGAAGACTAATAGAAATTTTCAGGAAAATAGTTGTGTACTCACCAGCAGGTGTAAACTTTCTTTGCTGTGTCATGGTTATTGCGTACATGTCTGTGCAGACTATTGGAGGCGTTGAATGACCGCTCACACTGCCGACAGGGATATCTTTTCACATTCTATGAGAGGAATGGGAGCGTTAGTCCTGACAGCAAGAATGAGCTGCCTCTTTTTTTGGGGGGTCTTGATCTGTGCAAAAGAATCCACACAATCTAGATTCGTGTACTAGCATCTGCAATGCATCTGCCTGTATCCTTGATCTGACAAAGTGTACTTTTGTGAGACATGGAAAACACATTTAAGAGTCCTGGCCAATTGTGGCCCTTAGGTGTGCATTTCCCAAGGGGCTACAGATATGTTTTTCTTCGAGAGTCGCTGTGCTCACCATAGAGACATGCAATTGACCTGCTACAAACACGTCTCTCTTGTGGCATAAAAAGCAGCCCTTGGCCATAAACCTGATAAGCTTGCCTTGAGCCAGTTCCCCATCTGCAGAATGCGAATGTTCATGATCTAATTTATAAGATTTTTGTGGAGAAGAATCCAGATAATGCTTATGCATTTGCAGTCAATACAGTTTCAGAAACATGTGGTCTTAAAAGGGGAACACATGGAGAGAGAGAGAGAGAGAGAGAGAGAGAGAGAGAGAATCATAGAGAGAATCATACTCTGAAGTTTATCTCTGATGCTGCCATAGGACTGCAGAGACTGCAGAGACCAAAAAGAAAGAAGCACCTACACAGGCTTTCACCCTGCTACAAGGTTTATGTAATAAGCAGTAGCAATTTTATTTGTTTAGCTGTAAGCTATAACAAACATAAAAAGGTATGCTATGAGGTTTAGATTAGATTTGCACATTGCTTCTTATTACGAAGGTCCTGAAATAATTTTCAAACAAAACAAACTCCACACAACCATTATTAAAAACAGATGCAACAGTACAGCCATATCATTGGTGCTGCCTAAATGTGCAGGAAAACAAAAACTTGTTCCCCTGGAGCTCGAACAATGACAGGCACGCTGCTGAAGAGTTTTAGATGAATCCTGTGGGAAAGAGGAACAAAATATAGCCCCCAGACCCTTACCTTTCCATGGCTTTTCCTCATATGGGACACATAGGTTTCTCGGTCAGGGATGCACTGCGAACACTCCCGACATGTCCAACTGCAGGGTTTTGGCTTGGGTTTTGATTCTGGGCTCGTCCCTTTTGTGGGCAAAGAGGTCTGGGAAGTACCATTGATTACTGAAAGCTCCTTTGATGCTGGAAGAACACTGCTGTTAGTTGCTGTTTCTGTCTTCTGTCGGAAGCTAGCAAGATCTTCAGGATTCTCAGGGACCCCATGGACGCTCTAATGAACAAAAACAAAAAAATCCTCAGCATTAGAGCAGGGCAAAGGGAAGTTGCCTATTTTCCTAAAATAGCAGGAAACTGCTCTGCTTAACAAAAGCATATCATTTCCCACCTCCTTCTGTTTTAGACAGCCCAGGACTAAGATAGAGATTATGTCCATAGCCAATAGGCTATGTTAACGCTAACGCAGTGTGATTCATCCCATCAACACAGTGAGAAACTATGCACTTAAATTATAACAGAACAGCATAGTGTGTTTGCAGCAGACTTAAGACTGAATTCACAGTTTGGAGGATTGTGAAAAAGTGCTGCTGCTGTAGAGTGCTGCCTCCTCTGCCTCTGTGTAGCACGTTATGGTTTGATCAAACCAAGTAACAGTTTGCAGATACATCTGAACTGGCAAACTAAAGTTTGAGCAAGCCCTCCAAACTGGGATTGCAAATCCTAGTTTGGAATGCTTGATCAAAGGAAAAGGGAGTGTGAGAGCACAGTGTTTGTTCACAATCCTCAATACTCACATCAGGCTTGGCCCAAGGATGTGTTTTGAGGAAACTGCACCCCGGTTTGCACTCAATTAAACTCTGAACCAATGCAAAGTTGCAGGGTGCATGTATATGTGCATGTTTGAATTGAGTCTTGGTGCTCCTCATTCGCAATCCAAGAGTAGGTTCAGAGGATGATCTGAATTTCAACCTAAGAGTCCTATGGCATTTTAAAGAAAACAAATGCATTGTGCCTTGAGCTTCTGTAGACAAGGGTCTACTTTGCAATCGAAGACATTGTTACAAATAGCACTGTTCAATTTGCCATAGCAGCAGCTAACGTATACAAGGATTATACAGCTCAGTCAAGTGTCTGATAAATCCTTGTATACGTTAGCTGCTGCTACGGCAAATTGAACAGTGCTATTTGTAACAATGTCCTCAATACCTGTCAAGAGATGGACAAGTTTTTGCTGGCTCAACCAAGATGCCTTTCTAGATAATAAGGATGTGATATTTCTCTCTTGGTAGCATCATGAAAGGCAATATATGCACAGATAATGAGGGAGATTCTGAATTTTGTCATCTCTCCCTTTGGCAAATGCTGATGACATAGTCTGAAATCATAATGCCACGAAAGCCCTTCCTTGAGTTCAAAAGTGGCAGGTGGTCACTGCTGCTTTTCAGATAGAAAGACACAGGCAAAATTTAACTAGGAAGGAAAGAAGTCTAGCTTGTAACGCAAGAGGAAGGAACCTGTAGCCCTCTAGACGATGGATTCCAACTTCCATCATCCTTAGCATTGGAACTGATGGGAGTTGGAATCCAACAAGACTTGAGAGTCACAGATTTTGCAGCTCTTAAGTTTTCCAGGGAATTTTGGAGGCATGAAGAGAATTCACATGCCTGACACACTTATTTATTAGAAGAATTTTTATTTTCGCCCTTCAATCATATTTTCAGGAGAATTTACACAAAGAACAATAAAATGTAGGGGGGGAGCATGCATGTGCATATACAGAAACACACATATACACAACAAGCTAAAACCCCACAAAATTATAAAAGCAGCATTAAACAGTTAACAGGCTTAAACCTGCATTTTAAAAGCTTTAGAGAGTATTTGGCACTGAACAGAGAGCATTCCACAACTGGTCTTCAGGCAGATAATACTCCTGACAGGGGAAGAGTTTCACGTAAAGGCAGGTGCACATGGAGAACAGTGGCTCTTCAATTATGCTGGTCCTAAGCTAGTCACTTTGCACTGCGCCCAGAAATGAACTGGAAGGCAGTGCAGTCAGTATAGCACCAGTCTCTCAGTAAGAAATCTAGATGCTGTAGGTACTTGGACTCTTAACGCAACACACTTCTGGGAGGACTGTTTTACAAGCAATCTTTGAATTGGTTTTGAGGCTGCTTGTGAAGATATCCACCAGTGGTGGGTAAAAAAAGAAAGAAGGGCAGCCGATGTGTTTCACGCAAAGCAATCTCAATTCAGAAGGTAGAAAAGTGTTCTGTGCAGGCATGGTATCCTCTCCAGTCACCAACCTTAACATGCTGCATTAGCTGAAGTTTCTGCATATACACCAGCTGGCAATGCGGACACTTGAACACTCCCACCATCAGCCTGTTGGCATTCTGCTGGAAGTGCTCCTGCAGAAGCCTCTTCTTGTTAAAGACTGTCTCACAAGAGCATTTGTAGATCACCCTGGAACAATTGAAAAATGAATTTGCAATGAAAGTTTAAACAAAAAAATAAACATAGAAAAATTTATTATCATCATCATTAAATTAATTATTGAAGTATTATTATTATTTATTCAACATATATACCACCCCCTTTATCAGAAGATCTCAGGGCAGTGTACAACATTAGAAACCCAACTCCAACAAAATGCCTTGGAAACATGTATTTTAACAGGAAACATTGTTGTGATGTCACCTGGCGGGTGGGTCTCAATTCTTTGCTGCAAGTGGCTGTTCCCAGCAGGAACAGCTTACAGGTGACGGTTAAATCCTGCTCCATTTGGCTGAGTGCATCTGTTCCCGCTTTGTAACAGGTGCATACAGTCAAAGGAAGCAGAAGAAAAACACTGAGTCTGCTTGCTTTCACTGTGTGCGCCTGCTCCATGGAAAGAGGTGCAGCAAAAGCAGACCTGTCTTAATTCTGCATCATTACATGAAAGGGGTGCGGGGAGAGAAACCGCTAGGGAAGGTTCATCCTTGCAAAGGGGGTTTCCCCATCCCCTTCCTGGGAAGTGTGTGCTGAGCAGAGGTTAAATTCTGCTCCATTTTGCTGCACACAGCTCCCAGGGGGAGTAGAGAAAGAACTGCTTTTGCAAGAATCAGCCTTCCACAAGTGGTTTTCCCCATCTCCTGGGAGTTGCAATTTCTCCTTCATGCATCAGTTGGATCTACCTTTAAGTGTGTGTGTGCTTCAGAAAGAAGGGAGGGAGCTCATTTTAACATTGCTCCAGCATGGACTTTTGATGGGTGGGTGTGTTGCCCACCTGTCAATCATGTGAAGTGCCTTGCTCACCTATCAAATTTGGCCCATGAAGCTAATCCTGATAAGGATTTGGCCCAAAGAGCCAAAAAGGTTCTCCACTCCTGCGCTAAGTGCTGCTATTTATTTTAATTTGTAGTTCTCCCCAGCAGGCTCTGCCTGAAGCTCCCATTACTGCTTCTCTAGCAGACAGGAGTTACAAGGCAATTTCACAGAGACATGGAATCAAAAGGAGCTTGGAGGGCATCTATTTCCAATCTCCTGCTCAATGCAGGACCTGAAATCCTGGATCATTCCCAACAGATGGCTGCCCAACTTAAATATAACCAGTGAAGGAGACCCCGACAGCTTGTTCGCACTGTCAAACAACTCCTACCATTCTTTCTCCTCATGGTTCGCCAAAATGGGTTTCTGTGCAATAACCATCCATTGGTTCTAGGATGCCCTCTGGAGAAACGCGTAACATCATGCAGAGCACAGGGGCTGTCTGTACGCTGACAGATGATAAATCCGTCCTTGCTTCTTTCCAAGTGTGAAAAGTCTTAGGAGCAGATGGGCTACATAACTAATATTAAGGTAACTAGAAAACAAGATTTCTGCCTAACCCTTCTTTTCTTTAAAAGAGAAGGTATGCAGATCCTACTAAAAACTGTCTCCACAACACAGTTTATTCTCTCTCTCTCCATACAGTTGGGACAACAACGTTCTTGTAAGCCCAGTGAGGATGGGCATAGAAGGCAAACTGGGTAAAGAAGAGAAATTGGGCAATACATTTATTTAACCGGGCAGCCACTTACTGAGATGTCTTATGAGGTTCTGCGGGGTGCTGACTGGTAATGTGAGCAGTGGTGCTGTCTGCAGACTTGAAGGCCATAGGACAGAACGAACACTTGTGGAAGACTTCACAGTGCTTCTCGTGAATGTGCACTTTCAGCATAGCTTGCGACATGAAGACAACCCCACAGTGAGTGCACCTGGGAAAAGAGAGAGAGAGAGAGATAAACTTGAGCTCTACAAACAAAAACAAAAAAATCATAAGCACACACTGAGATTTCCGTGAAAGTTCAGGAAACAAGGACCCACTGAGGTCTGCCTCACTGACCTGGAGGGAGTAGTAAAATCCACAGCATTTGTAAAATCCACAGCATTAAAGTGTTCCAGGGTCATCAATAATGGTGGTAAAGACAAAAATGAATAATAATTTTAAAAAAGCCCAGGGGAAAAAGCCTGTTTTCTGATAAGACACTCAAAAGTCCCAATGAAATGCACATTGAAAATGTTTTAAAACCTCCAGGGATACAGCTGATACAGGACAAAGTCACTCCAATTTGAGGGGTGTTCAAATCAAAATGCAACTGCTGTTAGCCACAAAGCGCTAACAGCAGGACCAAACTTCCTTTCTATTTATTGCCTGCATTAGCCTGGGCTTCAGTGCTTTTATTCCAAGCAAATCAAGTCACTTAGGAGTCTGCTAAGCACCCTTTAATTCATGCTGCATTGTTCCACCTAAGCAATAAAAAAGTATTTGGTGCTCATCTTGCTCTTGCTGCCAAACGTCCTGTTTTACATCAAGGGTGGGGAAGCTGTGGTCTCTCCAGGTGCTGTTGGACTTGCATCAGCCCCAGCCAACGTGGCCAACAGCCAGTGATGATGGCAGCTATAGTCCAGCAATTTATATTCTACTTTCAGTGGATAAAACTATGCTCAAGGAGGCTTACAACATGAAAAAATGAATAATTACAAATATAACAAATATTGTCAGAACAATACATTTAAAAAATCAGGAAGTACACAACCAAATTGAACAAGTTCCACATAAAACCATAAGAAGATCTAAAAATAAAGATAGAAAAAAATAAATATCAATAACAGAAACAAACCCTGCTAACAACCCCCTCCCTAAACAATACCCAAGAGTCTGTTCAGCAGCCTCAGCTTTTGTAGCTGGAGTCAGTCAGCGTACCACCTTTCCAGGCCAGGTGGAAAAAGGCCTGCAAGGCAGGGAGCAGGTCTTCCAGGACTCACAGCCAAGATGGCCACATCAAAAGGGCCATAAGTTCCCTGCCTGTAGCATAAAGTCAGTATCGCATCAGTATTTCTTCAGTTAAGACATAGAAACACCAAATTTTAGATCAATTCAGTTTTCCCCCCTATGGATACTATTTATTTTTAAAATGTCTAATCCACCGTTTATCCAAATGGTAGTGAATAAAAATAAAAATGCAATATAATAATAATAAAAAACACCACCACAGTACCCTCCTTTGCAAGCAACAAAACTGAGAAGCCAGAGAGTGACAGAACTATAAAGCATACAGAGGAAGCAAACTACGTGTCAGAATCAGACCATCACTACTTCATAACCTTTAAGAGGGCTGTGAAAGTCCATTGAAAAAGCACTGGCATTTTCCCCCTCTCTTAGCCTGCAAGCACAGAAGAACACTCATTGCCAAAGTGTCTATAAAGATGTGCCTCCTGAAGGCATGGCAGGACAAACACGCCTTATCAGCATTTGATATCCTGAAATTGTCAGCCTGTCTGATCACCAAACAAGTTGGCAGCAAAGCTGTGTGGCGTGAAAAGGATTTGATAAGATTTTAAGCTCCATTCCCCCTCGCCCCATTCATCCCCACTCGGTGTGCATTAAATGTCACGACACATCTTCCTCGTGCACCACCGCCCCTCAATTGAGCACAAACCTGTAGCCAACTTTGCGGGAGTAATGAAGGCAGTTCTCCTTGACGTGGGTTTGGAAATAGGCCGACCGGCAAATGGCGCCACACTCTGGGCAACAATAAGGGGATTTGTGAGCATGGATTCTTTGATGAGCACAGTAACTGCACTTGTTGGGCAACAGCATCTGGCACACTTGACAAGTCTAAAGGAAGAAAAGGAGATGCCACAATTAGCCATTCCTGCTGCACTCTTCACACCTTTTTCCTGCTTCTTTCCATTACGAGAGCTTCTACCAACAGAACTTCTTACGTAAATCCTATGTTCTCCCTTTATCTTCTTACCTTTGCCATGCCATTTACGTGTTCTATAGGGTGACCATATACTGCTGGCATTAAATGGTATCCCTACCAATGAGAATTTGGCTCTCTTCGGCAAGTGTTTTTCCCCCAGGGGTGTGTGTAAAAAGAAAGAGAGATCAAACATAATGCTTATTCTACTTTCCAAACACCAGGACCATGTTGTAAAGAGAGCTGTCAGGATTTTCCAGTGACAAGTCGTTCCAAAGTCAAATCCTAACGTACTTACCAGTAGAAAGAATTATGAGGAAGCACTTAAGCCAGGCAACTGTCTTTCCAAGCCAACTTAACATTAGCACCATGTTTTCTGGCACCTGAGCAAGGGAATTTCAAGGCCTCTCCCAGATCCCCACCCAAAGTGGTCCCTTTTGCAACTGCCATAGTTTGTAAGGCCCAGAGTTCAAAAGCAATGGACATCCAGATAGTGGGAATTATCAATGCAACTGTCTTGGAGCTGGGTACACATGGCTGAGCAACGATGTGATGATGGTGTTATCTTTGAAGCAGGAAAAGAAATAATGAAATTCCAAACACCTCTATTTATTTATTTATTTATTTATTTAGCATCAGTAGAACACCAACACATTTCATATCCAGAGTTCTCTGAACCCAGTGATTAGGGATAGCCCAAACGACTGGTAAATGTCTCTGGCTTAGCAACCATTTACTGAAAAAGCTTACCAGAGATCTTAGGCTTGGAGGTCTCTCTCCTTGTTTTCTAAAAGGTGCTATTTTTTAGCCAACTGGCTCTGCAGATGAAATGATGTGCTGTGGTCCAAACCTACTCCTTCCTTGGGCCTGAACCAGTTTCCACTGTATCTCCTTATGGGTTTGGGAAAGAAGGAACCTCTTGGAGGGTGTACTGCTCTCTCCATCTCCAAGTGACAAGTTCAACAGGCACCTCATGCTTACAGGCCAGTAGCACAACATCCACTCCCACCATCCCACAGCTCTCCTCCCTGTGCTGGCTACCTTCTTATGTGAGGTTCTGCAAGCAGCATAGAGTAAAGGTCATCCCACAGTCTCCAGATCAAGCCATGAGCTGACAATGCCGACAAGTTGTGCCTTTCTAACCACTGTGCGTCACAACCAAGCTAGGTGGCCTTAATGGCGAAGCTGTTGGCTCCCAGTCACAAATCCCAAGCAGCTAAGGCAGGACTGAGAATACACACAGCTGAATTACAACTCCAAGCTCTCTGTTAACAGGTTATCATTTCCAAAACATCCCAAGACTTGCCTCTCCATGTCACTTGGAACTGCAGCATTAGGAAAGCACAAGTAGTGCGACACGCCTACTAGCTATAATCTGGTGTCCTCAACCAATGTCCAAGTCTTGATATCTATTTGTACACGGCATTAATTTACAAGCTGTTGCCATCCACAGTGACCCTCTGGCCTAAACAAATGCTCAAGTTCAAAATGTAAGACCGCCCAAGTTTTCAAGAGCTGGAGAACCAAAGAAACAATCACTTCTGAAGCTGCTCAGGCGTCATGCCCAGATCCAAACAGTTTGGTTAGTGGCCAGGCTTTCAAGAACTGAACCCAGGATGGCTGTGTCCAAGGCCAGTGAACTACCTACAGCGATAGCCAGGACAGCTGAGCACTGCGCAACTAAACTCCTAGAGATATCCTGCAAAAAGCATTGATTGGATTGCATTAACTCCAGTTGGCCCAGCATCTACAACCAAAGAAGGCAAGGGTAGATAGTGGACCATTAGCCAATTTTGTGGTGGACCTACTGGCACCTGCTCATTGCTGGGATTCTTGCAGTGAATGCAATTTGCTATGTGTAGCCTTCTATGATCCAACAAGGCGCTTCTTAAGCTAAAATCAGTTGAGTTAGACATTAACAATTAAAGAGAATTGAAGTACACACTCTTGCTTCTGTGGATCACGAATGACATCAACCCACTCCTGGTCTACACAACAGGGCACACAGTCAGCACTTCTGCTTCCTGGGCCTTCAGTGCTTTGATTCAACCCTAAACATCTTTCCTTTCTCTGCCCTTGAACTCTTGTCACTCTCCGCCTGCAGTTTCCTGCCTCCCACCAGTCATGGCTATTCTTGAAGCCCACGTCATGGCTTGCTGCCAATACAGACAATTTGGATTTGACAGAGGATTGTGCCCTGACACTGCAAAACAGCTCTCCTGCTGATCATTCCATTTTACTACGTACGTTTCTACACAAGTTACAGCAATTTCATCAGAGGCCTTATCATTGTCCCTGAAAGACTCACAATCCTAGTACTGAATTTTTACTTGACTTACGTACATATGTTTCTATTAATAGCTTCAGAATGGTTTTAAATAGTTACCTATTTATATTTTTATTCTGTGCTTTTAGAACGCCTTTAGTTATTGTTAATATAACCGGTTATCACACACACCCTAAAAATTTGGAGCTTTGGGCCTCAAAACACAGTAAACACTGAAATTCCAGACTAAAAGCTCAGGAACAACAGTCCAGAATTTCAACAGCCTACAAGCCTGCCTCTTCCCATCTTCTTGCCCCTTAAGATCAACACTGGACTGCACCCCTGCAGGTGGCAAGGAGTGTCAGACAGCAGAACGCTTCTGACCCCTTCCTCTACAGAAAAAACCTCTGCATATGGAAAGCTTGCACATCAAAGGCCAGGATGAAACTTCTTCCTGACATATTAGCTATCTACGTGTGAGAGGATTTTTACACAATGGGAAATTTAAGCATACTGTTCCCCCACTGCCAGCAGCTTTAGGTAGCACAGATGGGGAAAGACTACAGGAATTATGGAATTTCAACATTTAGTATACTCTGGGGCCCAAAGGTCCTGATTCGCAGAGAGCGTGTGGTGGTTGCTTTAATTGGAGTCATGTTTTGGATGCTTAAATCAGGAGTTGGTCTAAGATTCTTCTTTCACAGCAGCTGCCTGATACACATTCAGAATTCAATTTATTCATGCTACTGTTTCATCAAGACCATCCAGTCTAATTTTGTGAAGTGGAAACATTTATATAAAAACTGAAATTATCATAGGCTTATGAAAGTAACACAAGTTACTGAAAAGCTGTGATAAGAAATGTGAGCAAAAAGGAGGAAAATTTGGGTAATAATCCACAACCATTTAAGCCATAGAAGTTTTTCCTACCGAATTCTGTATGTTGTGGATTTACCCCTTTTTTATCTACTGTTGTACTATTTGTATGCCCTTGTTGTATGATATGTGTGCCCTTGATGTCTGGGAAATACTTAAGAAGGTTTTGCCAATGAAAGCTACCAATTTATCTCAAAATTTAAATTCTAAGGTCCTCCCAAGCCTCATGAGCTTCACCAATTCACTGGAGTCAAATCTCCACTATCATTTATTTCCTTTTCATTTATCTCAGCTCTTCTTCACTTTATGCTCCCATCATTGCATCAGGCTGTAGCAGAGCAATCGATGGGAGCAGGACCACTCCATTAGCTCTGCTGAGAAACCAGCTCCACATGGAGCCTCCTCTCCATAAATGGCTTACATTCCAGTTGGTCATTATAAGAACAACTATGCAAAAGAGTTGGTGCCTGCGTTTGCTTGTTTCCCTTTTCCCTCCTCATTCCTTTGTCCTGTGTCTTTTAGACTGCAAATCTGTGGGCAGAAACTGTCTTGTTTCATTAATCTAATGTAAGTCTCTCTTGAAACTTTTTGGTTGAAAAGTAGAGTACATTAATAAATTAATCTATAGGGGAACAGTTGTGATGGTCCTTGATCATCTATTTCAGGCACCCCCAACCTTCGGCCCTCCAGATGTTTTGGCCTACAACTCCCATGATCCTTAGCTAACAGGACCAGTGGTCAGGGATGATGGGAATTGTAGTCCAAAACATCTGGAGGGCCGAAAGTTAGGGAAGGCCTGATCTAAGTAGTACTTCAGGGTCTCTGTTGTTTCTAGCCTCCTAAACATCTGGTGAACTGTCAGGCAGATCTTCAGGGAGAGGGAGGTTAGGTGGGGAGAGAACCTAGTTTAGAAAAGGATGTTGGTAAAATAGCAGTTTTACCAGTTCCCACTCACTATCTCCCGCAAAACCACGAAGATACTTAACTACTGAATAATGCTTAGCAATTGGGTAGACACTACAATGGTACTATCTCTTTAATTAAAGGGAAATAGATAAAAAATAATCAGGCAGAACCCAGCACCAAATGTTGCATTTCCGTTGTATGTTCCCGAGGGAATGCTGACTTCTGACTTTGACACTTTCACTGCAAAATAAAACTAAAGTGTGCATTAAGTAAATAGAGTACACATATTCTCAGATTTCTAAAGTGAAGAGATTCCCTTCCTTAAGTAAATGCTATCATTGAGGCAGTTGCCCATCCCATAATGCTACCCGAGCAAAAGACTTGCACATCCCTTACCTGCAACTCTGAATCTCTCTCATCCTAGTGTTTCATTGCAGTAGCTTGTATTTAATCAAATATTTGATTTCAGTATACAATTAGAAACTGTGATATGCTACAACTACAGCGGCATACAAAGGAATGTGGTCAGCTGACAGGTTTAGCATTAAATTACAGTGGTACCTCGCAAGACGAATGCCTCGCAAGATGAAAAACGCGCAAGACGAAAGAGTTTTCCGTTTTTTGAGTCGTTCCGCAAGACGAATTTCCCTATGGGCTTGCTTCGCAAGACGAAACGTCTTGCGAGTTCTTGCGAGTTTGTTTCCTTTTTCTTAAAGCCGCTAAGCCATTAATAGCCGCTAAGCCGCTAATAGCCGCTAAACCGCTAATAGCCGTGCTTCGCAAGACGAAAAAACCGCAAGACGAAGAGACTCGCCGAACGGATTAATTTCGTCTTGCGAGGCACCACTGTATCCAAATTAAAAAATAAATTATCTGTATTAGTGTTATCTATTGAAATTACATTTTCATTTGTATAGTTGTAAATTAATCTGTCACTCACAGTTTCCATAATGAAAGTATATTTATTCAATACACCTGGCCCATGTTCTCCACAATTCCATGCCTCTTTTTCTCCTGATTTGCAGGACAAATGCAACACTTTGCCAGTTTGGATGAAAAAGGCATAAATACATAACACTAACCTTTAGCCCTCCAGATGTTGCTGGACTACAACTCCCACAATCCCACCACTGGCCAACAACATCCAGAGGGCTGCACATTTGTCACCTCTGACATAACCCTATACCAGTTTGTCACTGCATCTGACCCACCCAAATGTCATAAAATATGAACAAAGATTCTGCACTGTTATGTGTCTACAGAAAACACAAAGAATAATAATTCCTAACTTTACTCCTAGGTTGTGATGTTGGAAATATCAATTTAAAATCAACCAAGGGGCTCTTTAATGATGGATACTCAAGACAAATTTTCTAACTTTCAGCAGACATAGAATTCCAGCTATAATCATGAAAAAGAAGGCTCATTTGGCCCGGAAATGAGTCCTCCTTTATCAGCATTTTGAAGACACATCACTTAAGCCACTGTTTGTACCCAAAAGGGTGAACAGGAGTAACAAAGTCACCTTAACTAAAGCTGACATTTGTCCTATTGCCAACAAAGATCCCAGTCAATGGGAAGAATTACAGTGGTGCCCCGCAAGACGAATGCCTCGCAAGACGGAAAAACCGCTAGACGAAAGGGTTTTCCGTTTTGAAGTTGCTTCGCAGGACGAATTCCCCTATGGGCTTGCTTCGCAAGACGAAAATACCATGCCAGTCATGAGATTTTTTTCGCTTTCCCCCTTTATCTAATCTGCTAAGCCTTTAATAGCCTTTAATAGCCTTTTAGCAGCTAATCCCTAAGCCTTTAAGCCTTTAATAGCCGCTAAACAGCTGATAGCGCTAATAGCGCTAATCCGTCAATGGGCTTGCTTCGCAAGACGAAAAAACCGCTAGACGAAGACTCTTGCGGAACGGATTAATTTCGTCTTGCGAGGCACCACTGTACTATCAGCAACTCCAGAGATTATGCAAGGAAAATTAAAGAGGTCTAATCAATCAACTGCAGTTCTGAATAAAAATGACCCTCCAGATTCAGCAGACGGGACTGTTCCAGAAGAAGAGGATTTGCTGAGTAATTTTGTTAACCTACCAAATAAAAAGCAAAGTGACATTCTCACCAAACTAGCTAAGTTACAGTCCAGGTTGACCCAAATACAGCAGCATGGACAATAAAACGTTGGTGAAACAACTGACAATCAAGCCTTTTGCCCACAAGCTGTTTCTCCAAAATGTATAGTTAAAAAGAGGGCTACCAGAGGAACTTTGAAGTGTATAGATGGAGAGCTGCAAACTCAACCCCCCTTGGAATATGATAGGGTGAGGGACAATCCTGATGGCATGACTACGAATTCCTGGCTGAGCTATGAGAAATTAGCTCCAAATGTAATAGGTAGTCCTCTCCCGAGAATCAAAAAGGATACTAACATCGTTGAATGTGTTCTTACTGGTAAGAGGAATGGAAGCGTTTTTTAAGAAAAACGATAAATCGATATTTCCTGAAGTTTGGGCCACAGCCCTATATTCAAAAAGGGCCTTACATTCAATCTAGCTAGTTATAGACCAATTAGCTTGCTACCATTAATTAGCAAATTATATGCAAAGCATCTTTACAATAAGCTAATTGACTGGATAACTGATGAAGATATTATTGCCGAAGAGCAAGCAGGATTTAGTTGAGTCAGATCCACTATAGATCATTGCTTTGTACTAGCTCATTTTACAGATGAGTATGTTAAGAAACCGGGTGGTGTGCTATATGCAGCTTTCATTGATCTGAAAGCTGCATTCGATTCAATCTCTCGAGTAAGACTGTGGGATTAGTTGAACTCTTAAATATAGATAAAATATTATTGTTCTTGATTAAATGTCTATATAAAACACTGTGCTGAAAGAGCATTGCTCTACAAATGGGCAGCTCACAGGATCTGTACCAGCCACAAAGGGAGTTAAGCAAGTTTGCATCCTAGCTCCCGCACTGCTTTAATTACCATGTTTTTCCGTGTATAAGACTACCCCTATTTTTGGCTGCAACCAATCACTCGTCCCCCATGTATATATTCCATGTATTATTATTATTATTATTATTATTTATACCCCGCCCTCCCCAGCCAAGGCCAGGCTCAGGGTGGCTAACAAGCAATAATAAAAACAAGTTGAATGAATACAACTTAAAAACAAGATTAAAACACAACAATTAAAATATTGAAATATTAAAATATTAAAATGCAGCCTCATCACAGGAGGAGAAAGTAAAAAGAAAAAAGAAAAGAGGGGGAGGGAATCGAATTGGCTCCAAGCCAAAGGCTAGGCTGAACAACTCTGTCTTACAGGGCTCTGGTCTCATGAGACTGAGCGTTCCACCAGGCCGGAGCCAGTGCTGAAAAGGCCCTGGCTCTGGTTGAGGCTAATCTAACTTCCTTAGGGCCCGGGACCACTAGGGTGTTGCTATTTATGGACCTTGAGGTGACCCATGTTTTTTAACATTATTTTAGAGTAAAAAAACCTAGTCTTATACACGGAAAAATACAGGATATATAAATGTCATTGTCCAGAGTTTAACATCCCCAGAGTATTATGCCCCTAAACTGGCCACAAAAGCCATCTCTGTATTATTATACGCAGATGATGCGATACTTCTATCTCAAACAAAAGTGGGCCTAAAAAGATTGATGAGGGCATTCTCAGGATACTGCCAAAGAGAACAGCTGGCTGTGAATTACAAGAAAACTGAAGTCACTGTGTTTTCAAGAAACTATAGGGCTCATAGATGGTATATGGATAATCAGTTGATCAAACAAGGTAAAGTCTTTAAACAACTCAGCCTTATTTTTCAGTCAATAATCTAGTAATTATTTAGTTCTGTCTTGGTCCAAATATACTTGCCAAATTCCTCCTGCGCCCCACCTAAAGACTGTTATAAACTGCGGACGTGGAAGCAACAGCACTGCTCCCAGCTTTTTCTTCCCATCCTCCCATCTTGTTTAACATCCTGTCCGACAAAGAGTTCTGAAGTACTGGAAAGCTTCCTCACTATTCTGGGTAATGTCCTAATAGAAGTATTGACCAACTGTGGATTCTCAGTTTTTCCTTTATTTGTATTCTCTATAACAGGCATAGGCAAACTCGGCCCTCCAGATGTTTTGGGACTGCAACTCCCATGATCCCCAGCTAACAGGACCAGTGGTCAGGGATGATGGGAACTGTAGTCCCAAAACATCTGGAGGGCCGAGTTTGCCTATGCCTGTACTATAATCTATTGCTTGAAAGTTTATAGTGGGGTGACCTGCTCTGGTTGCCTTGCTAGGGAAAGCAGCAATTACTGAAGTTCAACCACACTGTTTTTGTTTCTAATTAAGCCAAAAACTTCACCAATGAGAGACATGGAATTTGCACTAATTTTCTTGAAGGAAAGTCTACGTGCAGGAAAGAGGCAAGAACAGCACAGAGCTACATAACTCACTGGCAAACACCCACTGGATAAAACCAGTTCTTTAGCTTACTCGTTTATTTCAGAAACACTGTAAGAGCTCACTTTATTTCGTGTGGTTTTTTTGTTTTTACCCAAAGCCAGATTTTAGTGGAACGAATGCTCTCGAACAACTTCCCTGCGTCTCTTCAATTTCTCTACAGGACTTTGTACACATTGGAAGTTGCTGGCCATAGGCAGCCTGAATTCCACAAATACCCCCGGTAGCGTAACTCAACCCCACCTACAGATGGCGTAGAAGAAAGCAGGAACGGGGGACCTATGACCTCCCATCAGCACCAACCAGCATTGCCAATGGTCAGGGTGGGTGATAGGAGCCGCAGTTCAACAACTTCTAGAAGTCCGCAGGCTCCCTACCCCTGCTTCAGAGTAAGAGTGAGCAATTGCTTTAATTGAGTGACGCGTGTGGCGCTGTGGGTTAAACCACAGAGCCTAGGACTTGCCGATCAGAACGTCAGCAGTTCGAATCCCGGTGACGGGGTGAGCTCCCATTGTTCAGTCCCAGCTCCTGCCAACCTAGCAGTTCAAAAGTATGTCAAAGTGCAAGTAGATAAATAGGTACCACTCCGGCGGGAAGGTAAACGGCGTTTCCGTGCGCTGCTCTGGTTCGCCAGAAGCGGCTTAATCATGCTGGCCACATGACCCAAAAGCTGTACGCCGGCTCCCTCGGCCAATAAAGCGAGATGAGCGCCGCAACCCCAGAGTCGGTCATGACTGGACCTAATGGTCGGGGTCCTTTTACCTTACTGATGATGATGATGATGATATTTGTACCCCACCCATCTGACCAGCTCAGCTCTCACCCACTCAAGTAAAAAGTCTTAGGTTCAATCCCTGGCATCTCCAGGTAAAGGCTGGAACCCTGGAGAGCCACTGCTAGTCAGTGCAGTAGACAATACTGTGTGCTACATGGACCAATTGGTCTGACTCAGTATAAGGTGGTGTTTTCTGTTTCTATGGAAGATTCAAGATGGATTCTATCATGTAAGGTGCAATTCGAGAAAATCAAATTCTGCAAAACAATTGTGGATAGGCTCCTCAAATCCAATAATACAAAGGCAGCGTATGCAAAACTTTGGGGGCCCTGGAATTGCCCACTGGAATGGTGGGTGCTACCCAGGTGCCACCTGGCTGTTCTTGTCATTGCAGGCTATGAATCAACACAATAAAGGTTGCTGTTGTGTTTTCCTGTAGGTGAGAGAGGCTGATTAATGCCCTAACTGCAGCTTTAGCGGTGCTAATCTGTTTTCAGGGGTTTGGGGTTATTTGCAGTTTTTACAATGGGAAAATTGATGGCTTCTCTTACAGAGTTACAAGAATATATCACATGTCAGCCTGACATAGAAATCTGCACATTAGAGTGTTTCTACAAAAATGCACCCACCACAGCACTGGAGACACCTTCAAAAGGTCAGAAATAGTAAAGCCAAGCCTGAACAGGAAACCGGTCAAAACCAATATTTTTGCCTCACATTTGGAAATCTTTGCTGAAATTTAACAAAAATATATTCAAAGTTACTAGTTCAGGATAATGATTCAATTAAAAGCCAATGGGGTAAAGGCTCCAGGTGACACTGTACAAAGAATATGGGTGATGAGGTGTAGCGGTTAGAGTATTGAACTAGGAGCTGGGAGGCCAGGGTTCAGTCATGAAGCTCATGGAGTGACCTTAAGCTAGTCATTCTTAGTCTAACCTACTTTGCAGGGTTGCTGCAAAGATAAAACGGGCGCAGGAACCACCTATGCCACCTTGAACCTCTTGAAGAAAAGAAGGGGTACAAATGCAATTAAAAATATAATAAAATGGAAGGCTGCATGCTGCTTTGTCCTCTCCTGGTCTTTTCTTCTCCAGCACGAGTTACACCACTGTCTTCCGCCCCAGCTGATCCGCTGTTCACCACTACTGAGGTTTATATCAGCAGCAACCTTAGCCATTCGTTATGACAACAGGGGTTCCTTTTACAAAAGGTTTTGTAACCAGTTTTAAAGCCAGGCTTAAAACCCTGCTTAACAGGCAATGCTGGTGAGCATTAACCACAGTGCCATCTGGCAGCGGGAGAAGAGGGAACTCATGCCAGTGTAAGGAGACGTGGGGGAATGCAAACCTGCTAATAAGAAGCTAAGAAGAGCCTGCTGGATCAGTCCAGTGGCCCATCCAGTCCAGCACCCTGTTCTCACAGTGCCCAACTAGACACCTATGGGAAGCCCACAAGCCAGCGTTCAAAATTTGCCTGGCACTTTGGGCACCTGGCTATTGGCCACTTGCGACCAAGTGAAGATGCCCAGGCGCCAGGATGGCACCTGAAGTCTCCACCATCTGGATGTGCCTGCCTGGGGATCCTTGGATCTTGACTGCTTTCACATGCTAGCAACACGTTCTGTAGAATTCTATCCATTATACTTTGTCTGCACAATCAGAATTTCTGGAACCAAAATGAGCACAGAATGTGGACTGTCCCTGGATCAAGTGGTTTTTCTTCTTTAGGATCTCAAAGCTCTTAATCTAGCTCAAGGCTGTCATCTGAACTAGCCAGATGTTTCACTGAGAATCCATCATGCTCAGTCCATCGTTTGAAAAATAAGAATTTACAATATCCCAGCTTGCCCCCAAATGGCAACTAGATGATTTGGCGATTGCAGTGTTGGTTAAAGGAACAATTTGGCGCCTAGCTTATATATCTGAGTTTCTAACACTGCCACAAGCAGAATCTGAGTAGAAGAACACATCTCCCCTCAGTTCCTGCCCCTTAATTATGGTGAAGTAACTGGGAGTGTTACACTGTCCCTGTCCCAACAGAAGCTGGGATATTGTAAACTACACTGTGATCCTTGGATAAAAGGTGGTACAGAAACTTAATAAATAATAATATGATAAATAAGTAGCCAGCAAGAGCTCTGGGATTCATGATGAGGCTACACTGAATAGCAAAGTTAAGTGCTTTTTTAAAAGGGCCCAAAGCAGGACATTAAGGGATTGGGAGAAGCCCCTGTGATGGATAGCTGCAGGATGGGTCGTCCTGGAGTAACCTGAGGCATTGCAGAGTACAGCAAGTCCCACAGTACTATTGACAGAGATCGGTACCGGTCAGCAGCACAGTGAAGGCTGCGTGGTGTTTCTCACCTCCAGCGGTTCTCAACCTGTGGGTCCCCAGATATTGTTGGACTACAACTCCCATCATCCCTGAGCTCTGGCCTTGCTAGCTAGGGGTGATGGGAGTTGTAGTTCAACAACATCTGGGGGCCCACAGGTTGAGAAAGGCTGCTAGGAGCTGGCAGTGATGTTTGACGATGGAAAGGCAGGTGAGCGACACCACCCTGTCTGTGCTGCCCAATACTGCTGCCCCTACCAGTGCACAGCTACAAATGAGTACAGTGGTGCCTCGCAAGACGAAATTAATCCGTTCCGCGAGAGTCTTCGTCTAGCGGTTTTTTCGTCTTGCGAAGCAACCCTATTAGCGGCTTAACGGATTAGCGCTATTAGCGGTTTAGCGGCTATTAAAGGCTTAAAGGCTTAGGGGATTAGCTGCTAAAAGGCTATTAAAGGCTTAGCAGATTAGATAAAGGGGGGGGGAAGCGAAAAAAAAATCTCTAGACTCGCAAGACATTTTCGTCTTGCGAAGCAAGCCCATAGGGAAATTCGTCCTGCGAAGCAACTCAAAAACGGAAAACCCTTTCGTCTAGCGGGTTTTCCGTCTTGCGAGGCATTCGTCTTGCGGGGCACCACTGTATTGATGGATTTTCCCCAATAGCAATTTGGAGCATGTTACTTCCTCTACCACCGAGTGTTGCAAAATCAGCATTGTCAATATTATGTTTTCGGGCATGAACCTCAACAGTTACTGGTTCAACTCCATACCTTGAAGGGGCTGAAGTGGTTACAGAAAGCATCTGGCTAACTACAATAAATCCCCCAAAATAAGACAGATAAAACCAGTGCAATTTTTCCTGAAAAAGAGGTGCTAGAACTCATCACGAGCACCTGCCTTGCTCTCTTATACAGACGTACCTTGGAAGTTGAACGGAATTCATTCCAGAAGTCCATTCGACTTCCAAAACATCCTGCAGCCAACTGGAAGCCGTGCTGGATGTTCAGTTTCTGAAAATCATTCAAAAACCGGAACAATCACTTCCGGTTTCCGATCATTCGGGAGCCGAAACATTTGAGTTAACAGGCGTTCACCTTCCGAGGTTCCATTGTAATGGCAATAGCGCCCACCCAAGAGGTGCCAGAACAGAAAAAGGCCAATATAGCATGTAGCACTTAAGATGGAAGCCAGAACTGTATCTGTTCCCACTGCTGGGCTTATTCCAGGTGAATGCTCAACTCCAAATATGACATCTTCTCCACATGACTACGCATGTATAGGCTACTGGGAAATAATTTTGCATTCAGTTGGCAAGTTGAGGATTAATTAACGTGTTGCAGCAGCCATGTGGAGGTCAGCTAAAATAAATTATACGTGGTTTCTCCATGCTTTGTGTGTAACAGGTGGCTCAAAACACCCCATGGGCCACAAAACTATATGCAATCATGCATAAGTTGGGGGGGACGCCTGGGCTACAGACTGGGCTAAGCAGGCTTTGTGATTTCTCTCCCAAATATGAACAGAAGAGTTGGGGGGGGGAGGGCAGAAGACACAAAAATGCAACAACCAACTGGGTTAAGAATAAAGCAAACTGTGTAAATGCCTATTATAAAAGCTACACAGAACTGGAGCTGTGATTGCCAAGACAACTCTGAGCCAAAACCCAACAGGATTCAAGGAACTGTCAAGATTTCCAGTTAGCTCCAGTATCCTAGCCAATGGTTTCCAATACAGAATAGCCATTAGCCATTGTAGAATTGACATATCTAAGGATCTTAAAAAATTAAATTGGATTGTATCAATAAAGATTGCACCCTGGAACTTTACATCACTTTTCACTGAGCAGTTGAAACTAGAGACGTTGCACACTGATTTTTCAGTCAGCACTCCTGAAGACTGTAAACACAAGTACACCAAAATCAGAAAGCGAGTGCCTGAAATCCATGGGACATACCATATTTACTCAAATCTAATACTTACTTTTGGCCAAATTATGTTGCGAAAATTAAGGTGTGCATTATATTCGATGGCCCATTTACATTCGCCAGCAAATACTTTTTTTGGTTTAAAGGTTCTGAAAATTGAAGTGTGCATTAAACTCGAGTAAATGTGGTAATTCCAATTAATTGTGCTAAGGACATGGGTGCCGATTCCCTCACAGTAGTATTTGTATAAGCAGCTAGGAATTTAGTTGGGTTCAACTAACTTTTACTCAGAGCAGATCCACTAAAATTAATGGACCTAAGCTAGGCTTAGTTATTAATTTCAATAGGTTTACTGTAAGTAAAACACTACCAATAACCTTAGCCAAAAGGCTACTCTGAGTAAAAGCCAGCTGAATACAACTCATTGTCCTGTGCCAGTGAAATACTTCCAAGAATGCTCCTGGGGATTTTATGACATCACAGGATGATGTCAGAACAACAAAGTCAGTGGCAGCCACAGGCCATAATACCTGGTCAGCTGATGTACTTGCACATGTAAAAAGCATACACTTCACTTGACCCCTTGCATGGGCCCAACAGAACTGAAAAGGGTAATGAAGTTTATTGGATTAAACAGGAAATTTATTTCAATATTTTAATGCCAAAGCCTTCCTACCTTTTTCATTATTTTTTTTCAACAGTTCAATCCCAAAGGCTTTCAAAACATGCAGCTTATTAAATAAAGCAAGGGAGTTAGAACATGGAGATGGCTGTTAATTAATAGTCCCATTACTCCAAAACTAAATTGCAAGCCTATATAATGCTGCAAAAGGCATGCAGCAGGTGAGTGGGCGACAGAAAGCTTGTTGATGGAATTTTCATTTCGTTTCATTTCTCTTTCCTCTTCAATTTTACTGCTGATTATAAGTACCGGTAAGTAAAGGTATTGCTGGGGGGGAAATTGCTGTTGAAACATCCTCAATGACCAATGGGGTGCAATAACACAACCAAGGTTGTTTTGTGAATTTCAACAATTCTGCAGTCTAGAGAGCAGCAGATGAAGATAGGAAGTGAAAGTGTGATGAGGTGCCCTGCCACTTATTATTATTGTTATTATTAAAATTTGTATACTGTCCTATACTTGCAGGTCTCACGGCAGCTGCAACATAAATCACAAAATATATAATAAAAACAAAAACAACCGATAAATAGGTCAACAGCTCATTTAGATGTAAAATGTTGGATCGGAGTTAATTGTGTTCTTAACAGTCCTAACCACTTTTACTTAGAATGATCACATACTGTTTTCAACATAACTTATGTCCATGTAAATGTGCCAAGCATTGCAGTCTGTCTAAGTATTACAGCTTTTGAGCTGAAAACTTTGGTGCCAAAACTGCTATTTTGCTTCTTGCTTATCCAATTTTTGTATACTAAAGTAGCAACATATTTCAGATTCATTTCTTGTACGAAGCAGCATTGGTAAGAGGGGAAGTGTTCAGAAAACCATTAGTTTAAAGAAACCTTTTGCATTCTCGGTCTAAAAGAAGGTAAATATTTCCCGGGGAACATACCTGCATGTCACACTAAACCAAAGTTTCATGTGACATGAACAAGCAGAAACAAGCTGCAGCTTCCACTTCTGTCTTTGATTAATCACAGCTCGCTATATTGTCCAGACTCAGAAACGTGGTTAATTTTAACTATGGTTAGTTTAAACAGGACTGCTTCAGGAACTATGGTTTGAAATTGGTTTGTCAACTGATCAATTTGGACGGCTAAACAAAGCTCCTTCCACTTAGGAGGAAGACGGGAAGTGTGTGTGGACCAGGAGGGGACACACACAACACATTGGCTGCTATGCAAACATGTTATTTTAGACCACAGTCTTCCATCTGCATAATTATCTACATGTCATTGGGCAGAGAACTGAAGGCTAGGTCCAGTTAATATTTTTGAATGAACACTGGCCAGAAATGGGCTGTTCACGGTGCCAGCAAATGGAGCAGAGCAAGCTACTTTAAAAAAAAAACCCTAGACAAATAAATCTATACAATAATAATAATAAAAGCTTTGAAATACATCAATCTCTTCTTCTCTCCCTCAGTAACTTGAGGGGATGAAGCAATTTATTTCTGGCACTGAATGGTTTATGCTGTATATTCAATCATCTTAAATCACACATATAGATCACCATCTCCACGCTCTTTTCAGTCACCTGCCACTTTTCTTAGATTTGCACATAGTGTATAGCTCCCAAGAACATGGAAAGATGCAGTTAACTAATCTCGTGTGCCTATCTTAATGTACGTTTGGAGTGTCTGGCTGTTTTTAATCTAGGCCCAACAGAAAATAGCTCTGATCTTTATTTAGGAAGTGACTTACCAGTCCCTCGTTATCTTCCGAGGTTCTCTGATAATGTGCTGCTAGGGCAACATAGTCCAGTGCCTGCTTATTACATTCAAAACACTTTAATCCGTGACGAATTAGTCTCAACGGGTCCGCATACAGGGGCAAAGCTGGCTGAGCATTTGTCGAGCTCCCAGTCCCGCTTCCCGGCGCAGCGCAAGTCTTATGCGGAAGAGGGGGCAACCGTGATGTCTGAGATGTCGAAGACGTTGAAGAGCTTGTTGGAGAAGGTGAAAACATTTGGTCTAAGGAAATGGGTTTCATGAACAGCTGAGAACACTGCATGATAAAGCCTTTGCTCTTGTGATCCCTCGCATGCTTGAGCAAGCTGCATTTGTTGAAGAACAGCAGCGTCGCCGAACACTGAGTGCACATGACTTCAATGTGGACACTTCTCCTGCTGTAATGCTGGGTGAGGCTTTTCTCTAAGGCAAACGAGTCGCCACATTCCAGGCAACAATACCCAGACGCAGGTAAGTGAATACTGCTGTCAAAAGGAGGGCTGAGGTTTGGAGTATAGATTGGCACAGGATTGGCACCATGCAACACTTTGTTGAATGCCTCGACGACAAGAGGAGCGGCTTTCTTAACCTGGTGCACAAGCGGCACAGACATCTGCGTGAGCTGGGACGGGCCGCGCCGCTGCACGGAAGATTTCGCCGCCACAGAAGCCGCAACGCTGTGGGGAACCAGGTTGAGGTTGGCCAGGTGCACGGCTTTAGGAAGGAGGCTGGCAGGGTTACAGGGCTGCGCCACCACACCCGGCTGCTGCTTCTTGCTTGACGGCTGTCCCACAATACCTACTTTTATTGTCCCGCTGCTGCTGTTTGCCAGCAGGGGTGCACCAGGGGTGCTGCTTACAGGAATGTCTGCACTCATACTGTCAACGTGGGGACTTGCTAGGTTTGCCTCTTGAGTAGTGGCTTTAGCAAAGCCCTTGCATGACTCAGTGTCCATGGATGCATTTGGTTCTGGTGAAGGGAAGGATTTCACAAACTCTTCAGTTGCTGAACTCTCCACGGGCGATTCTTGAGGAGATTTGCCCAAGTCATCGACTTCCGGCAGGATCCTTGTTACCATTCTTTTAATTTCACCAGAGGAGGTTTTAATAGTCTTGATCCTGACTTTGGGAATTGCTGGGGGTGAACCAGTTGCCACCGAAGGTGAGCCTTTGCTACTGCTGTCACTGCACACACTCCGGGGAGACTCGGGCTGCTTGCTGACTTTTCTCACCATCTCAAGGGGGCTTCTGGGACTCTTTGGTGACTTTGGCATCTTGGGGCTTCCCTTGATGCCATCCTTAAAGGGCCCAGAAGACTCCTTCGTCAAGTTTCCCTGGTCCTCCTTTGAGATGCCTGCAACCTTTTTGGCCTGAAGGGCTACAAGTGCAGCGACGCAGGATGAGAGCTTGGAGTGGGCAGGTTTGATACGCTGGCGAGGTGGAACTGACGAAGAGGAGTAGTTCATTTCAGGCACAGATCCTTTACTTTCACCCAAGTTATTGCTATGGAAATTGCCAAGCTGCAACCCTTCGCTGAGGAAGTTATTGGTGTCCACAAGATCTTTGACAGGGCCTTCCCGTTTCTCAGGGCTCTTGTCACGTTCCCTCTTGCTAGCATCCACCCTACTTTCTTGCAGTTCATGCATATCTATCTTTGGATCTCTTTTACAGTATTGATCAAACATACTTAACTCGGGTTCTGCTATCTTCTTACTAAGCAGATCTAGCAGCGATGGCCCAGTTGACATAAACCTACTAAACTCTGGTTCTGGCAAGGTCCTACTAAGCAGATCTAACACAGATGACCCAGTTGGAATATACATTGGATGCGGTGGAAAATAGGGAGTTTGGACATGTTTAGGTTTATCTACAATACTGTTATCTTTGAGTGCATCCTCCGGCTCAGGGCTGGAGATGGGGCTGAACTGACTGAATGTTGGTAAGGGCTCTGACTTTGTCTGTTCCAACTTTTCAGGATAGTTCCTCAAGCCATCACCATTGATGAAAGTGGAATCAAATTTCCCATAATTGTGAGTCTCCAGGGGAAGTTCAGACCCCCGGAATCCATTGTGCAGCAGGCCTGGTCCTAGGTGGTTGCCTTCCTTTTCTGCTTCAAATGACTCTTGTCGGCACGTGTTCTTCACAATGACACTCACAACTGGAATGTCAGAAGCTGGCGCTGCGTGGGACAAGGATGCGCTTTCATCTATACAAATCCCAGACTGCTTGAGATGGTTTTCGTTCTCCTCACCAGCTGTCTGAATGGCTTCCTTGGCATCAAGGCTGGTTGGGTCAGGAATGTCAAAAGCAGCCAGCAAGTCATCAAAGTCTGGAGTTTTCATGTCCCCCATGATGAAAACTACAAAAAAGCAAAACATTGTCAAAAGCATTCTCGGTGCGCATTTTCTGAATTTATCTCTCTTTCTAGAAATGCCAAGATTTGGGTTCTAGTAACAGTAGAAAAACATGCCTACTGCTCTATTAGTAGTTCCTATACTCTATGAAAAACTTCTTCAACCTGGTTCTCTCTTTGGATGTTTTGGACTGCTATTTGCAACATTCCTTGCCCATGCTGGCTGGGGATGACAGGAGTTGTAGCCCAAAACATCTTGAAGGGCCCTGTGTTAGGGAAGGCTTCTCTAGGGACTCAGTTGATTTTTCAGAAGACGACACACCCACACTTTCTAGAATGGGAATGAAAGGTGTTATATTTATAATGAACAGACCACAAGCAGTCTCCTTGAGGCATGCTTTGCCTTTTCTAACTTCCTCCCCATTGCACACAGCTGCAGCAAGAAAGGGGCAGGGAACCCTGCAAATTTTCAGAAGGGGATTTACCTGTTGTTGCTGATACTCAAAACCCAAAGCCTAAGATTTTCCTTCTACAGATCGTGATGCAGTATTATATACTAAAAATAATGATAACCCAGGGGTGTGAGAAATATGCCACTCTTTCTAATAGCAAAACGTCTTGGTCCAGTGCCTATCAGTTGAACAGTCCACAGACAAGGTTCATGCACAGTCAAGGGGCCTCCCCAGGTATGCAGAAATGAATATTTGTAAATTAAAAGGGGGAAAGAAGCTCAAAAAGCCCAGTTGTGTGAGGACTTGAGGACGCTCAATGGGTTCCAGAAGTTACTGAAAGTTGAGTGCATCAGCTGAAAGGAAAATACTGCGGCATAAGCTTTCGTGGACTAGAATCCACATTAAGAGATGCAAATAGGCTCCAGACCACTGAAGCTTTATCTTTAGGCAAACACAGCTACCCCACTTGGAAGTGGCTTACTGTATCCTGAGGGGGTGGGAGACATGCCATGAGATTTTTAAAAATCTCATACCTGCACCATACAGGGAGGTTTCAGTACAGGGGAAAAGAAAACCGTATACCGTATATACTCGAGTATAAGCCGACTTTTTCAGCATATTTTTTATGCTGAAAAAGCCCCCCTCGGCTTATACTCAAGGCGGGCGGTGGCGGGACGAGCCAGGCCTCTCCCAACCACGGCTCCTATGCCTGCTCTTGCGAGCGGCAGAGGTGGCGGCAGGAGGGACGAGCGGCCCGAAAAGAGCCCTTTCTCGCAGCTGGTCCCGCCGCCGCTGCCCGCAAAGGAGCCCTTTCGGGCTGCTTGTTCTTCCTCTGTTGCTGCCGCCACCACCAGATTTGTGGTGTGGTGAACCAGCTTATACTCGAGTCAGTAAGTTTTCCCAGTTTTTTGCGCTAAAATTAGGTGCCTTGGCTTATATTCAGGTCGGCTGAAATGGTATATATTTTCCTTTTCCTGCTCTCCAGAATCTCCTCCCCCTCTATCTTCGCACATCATAGCAAAAAAGTCCTCAAATTCAGGGCTAATAGCTCTTTTATCGTATGGCGAGGGAAAGGAGGAGCGTGGGAAAGAAAAGCTCCCCCACATACCACAAGCCCTGAACAGCACTGCAAGGCATCTTTTCAAGCTGGCTAGAGCTCTGAACAGGAGAATTTGTGTTAAGGGCTGAGGATACACTGCAACACTTTGTTGCAGGTTCCCTCTGGTTATAAGATATAATAAACAAACAACCTTGTATTCCTGGCACCCTGGGGTTCTCATCATTTTTCTTGTGTGTCATTTACCAGGTGCTGCCTTGCTTTTTTTGTTGTTACAGTTGGTACGTTTCTTGCAGCAAGCCCAGCCAAGGAGGGAAAAGGACTAAAGTGTGGCATAAACTGATTATTTGCAGTTGGGCTACAGCCACCAGGGGAAACAGTGCCAAAATACGCATTAGAGCAATCCCTTCCTGGCTGATAGAAAGGTTCACAGCGATGGCTCTTCTTTACCTCATGCCTTTCTGGGTTGCACACACAGGGTGATGATATAAGGGAATAATTATTTTGCTCCAGACTGCACAAAGGTCATACAAAGAGCAAAGTCCACTTTCTGTGATGTGCCCTCCAAAGCTGTCAAGTGTGACAACACAGAAAGTTAAAGGGGAAACTCTCCCATTCTCCTGCTGCAGAAGCCAAATACAACTGCAGAAGCTGGAACTTAAAACTCATGCCATTTTATATAGCACAAGAGCACCTGGGTATGGTATCCTAAACTCCAGCCTTTGCCAACCTGGTGCCCTACAGATGTTTTGGGCTCCAATTCCCACCAGCCCCAGCCAGAACAGGGGCTAAGTCTACATTGCCTATTGGCTGCCCAGCTGATACGGGAAGGACTGCAGCTCCCCTGCTTTGCATGCAGAAGGGCCCAAGTTTGATCCCTAGTACAGTCGTGCCTTGGAAGTCAAACAGAATCCGTTCTGGAAGTCCATTCGACTTCCAAAATGTTCCAAAACCAAATTGCGGCTCCTGCAGCCAATCAGAAGCTGCGGAAGCCCCATCAGACGTTTGGGTTCCAAAAGAACCGGAACAATCACTTCTATACAACTCAAAACATCTGGAGGGCACCAGGTTGGCAAAGACTGCTGGACACCCTTCTTTTGACATCAGTTCAAATGCTTCAAGGAGTGTGTCAGCTGCTACAGTATGAGAAGCATCATCTTCAAGTAACGTTTTCATTTTAATATGGCAGAAAACCCAACTGGCAAAGACAGAAACAGATTTCATCTATATACTGCCCTTTCTCGAAGGAGCTTAGAGTAGCATATGTAAGGACCATCGTGTTTTATCTTCAGAACCACCATTTCAGATAGGTTAGGCTGAGAGAGACTGACTGGTCCAAGATCATGCTGCTTCACTGTAAAAATGGATGAACTAGCAAGAACAGGGCCCAGGATGATCCATGTTCAAGAAGAACTAGTATGAAAAAAACAGTGCCTCGTTATGAAAATCATGAGCGCTAGGCCAGGATGAAGCACAGGGTTCAAAGTTAGCCAGGCACCACCCCTGCACCACCTCATATTCTGGACTTCAAACTCTACAATTCAATGAAAACCACAGGCCTTAAGCAAGAGTCTTGCCAGCTGTTAGATACAGCCAAACCTGGTGAAATCAGCCTTCATCTGCACTGTCAGAAAGGGGGAAAAACGAGTATGGGGCCAAATATAGATGTACTTGACTGTTTTGCAATTCTTCTGCAGACCACCTCACTGAAACTTACAAGCTACAAGTGGTCTGTGAACCTAAGTTTGAAAAACTCTACATTAGAGAATCTTGCCTACCACAGATGATTCATAAAGAAAGGTTAATGGTTTCTATGCAAGTTTCCTTTTTTTTTTTTTAACTTTGCTGTTGGAAGCCTTGAAGTGTGAAAAATACCCTAAGCCACATTGTACTGTGCTCTACCCAAAATTAATGATTCTTCACAAGACTGGGATGAATGCAGGTATGTATTTGAAAGGGTCTGAAAAGATTCCTTGTGATGGGAAAACAACTTTTCTTGTGTCGACCAAAGACTGCAAAGATTAGGAAGCACAGAAGATCATCCCAGGTGTCGGTGAGTGACAGTCTATGAACTAAGGGTAAGAAAGACTGGGCAGTTCAGACAATTCATGGTTTCCAGTGCTTTAGACAGGAAGCCCAACTCAGACACCACAGAAAATAATGGTTTTTGCTAAGCTAGCCTTCCCCAACTTGATGTTCTCTAGGTGTTTTGGACTACAACTTCCACTATCACTGACCACTGGCCAGTGTCAGGCTGCCTAGTGCTGATGGGAACTGGAGTACAAAACATATAGAAGACATCAAGTTGGGAAAAGCTGTGCAAAAAATAAACAGACCGTAAAGTTACGCATGAGAGTGTAAGCCGAGCTTGTTCCAAAGTCTACAAAACATGGACTTCAGAGTTATCTGAACCAGGACTATAAAGCTATGTGCAGTTTTAATTTCACTTCTAAAACATTTGTTATACTTAAAAACTGCACTTGTTACAACTAAAGCTCAATTCAGTGTTCCATTTTCAACAGTAGTCAACTAGTTGTCATTTGGGAGCTCAAAAGCAAAGAGTACAATAGTTACAGCCATCCATTTTTATTCACCCCCAGTATCTGAGACGTATATTGACTCTGAATATGGATACTGTAGTCCACTGTGTCAAGGCCAATAATAAGTTAGCCAACATGATTTTGTCTAATGTTTCTTTAATGCTCTCTTACTCTGCTGGCCATTATCTTCTGATGAAGAATTTCATCTGGTCATCCTGCAATAAGTACAATTTATTTACAAATTAAATAACAAATAAGAGCATCTTAAATGCAGCCTCCCATCCAGTCACTTATCAATAAGTTTTTCCTAGTTTCAGCACCAGGTTTAGGGTGGTGCAGGTGGTTCCCCCACCCAGAGCGCTGACCCGAGGGGGTACAAAAATGAGAAGATCCATAATTGAGAAGATCCGTTTGGGGACACCATATTTTGGCCTCGCATACAGCGTGGTGTTACAAAAGATTACCAAAGTCCACCCCTGAATAACTGCCAGTAGCATCAGAATAAGCTCTAAGTCTATACAGTCATATATTGGGTTGCGAATGCTGTGGGTTGCGCGCTTTCGGGTTACGGACGCGCCGAACAAGGAAGTACCCGAACAGGTTACTTCCGGGTTTCAGCGCTCGTGCCGATGCACTAAATCGCGCTTTGCGCATAAGCGCCGAATCGCATCACGCGCATGTGCAGATGTGGCGCTGCGGGTTGCGAACATGCCCCCCGCACGGATCACGTTCGCAACCCGAGGTTCCACTGTACTCTGATACTTCTTAATTTGTCTTGAATCTGCTGCCAAACAATGCCAAATATGTTTGGGGAGACAGCCATTTCTCTCTATGCACTCTAATGATGATAAGAACTTAAGCTCTGCTGGATCTAGGCCAGTATCCTGTTCTCACAGTGGCCAACCAGAGGCCCGTGAGAAACCCGCAAGCAGGACCCAAGCTTGAGCACTCTCCCCTTCTGCAGTTTCCAGCAAATGGTAATCCAATTGCTCAGTCCCAGCTTCTGCCAACCTAGCAGTTCGAAAGCATGCCAGTGCAAGTAGATAAATAGGTACCACTGCAGCAAGGAGGTAAACGGTGTTTCCGTGAGCTCTGGCTGATGTCCCAGTTCCGTTGCGCCATAAGCAATTTAGTCATGCTGGCGACATGACCCGGAAAGCTGTCTGTGGACAAATGCCGGCTCCCTTGGCCTGAATCGAAATGAGTGCTGCATCCCCATAGTCACCTTTGACTGGACTTAACCGTCCTTTTAATCAAGCACACCCAAGTGTGGAAGCAGAGCAGAGCCATCATGGCTAGTATATTTGTAATAGTATCCTGCCCTGCCATTCCTAACTAACCTTTTCTCTGAACTGAAATAAAGCTTTTCTTCACAGGGATGATCATCATTTTAGGTGCCCATTTATGTATATTCTCTAGTATTAGTGTATGACCTCTTTGGAAAACTACAATGTATAGAACTTTCTTAAAGTGTCCATGATACAAAATTCATATTGTGGCAATAAGATAACACTTCCGGATAGATTACTCAAGCCGCAACTTGTCTGTGGATGGTAGTTTTTCTCTCTGCGAGAGAATTGTAGCATCCACTACCAACAGAAACATTTGAGCTCCTAATGCATCAGACTATGTAACAAGACATTTCAGACATCACAAAGCCATCATAGACAATCCAAATCCTCATGAAACAGCTGGAAAAGCTCAAAAAGTGGGAGCTGTGGGTGTTTCTATAGTTCCAAATGCACTCACAACTGTTACTTGCAAATATTTTATCCATTTATTTAAATAAATGAATAATCACAAATGGGGATGGGACCATAGTTCAGCAGAAGAACAAAAATTCAATTCCCCTATATATCCTCTTAAAAGGATTTGGTAACAGGTGATATGGAAGTCTCATCCCAAGACCCTGGAAAGCCATGGATAACCAGAATTTTAAAACAATATAGGGCCCGACTGACCAGTGGTCTGGCTCAGTCTCCTATGTTATCCTAGCACCCTCCTTTACTCGTAGTGCTCTATTGAGACTTCCATTATACTCTGCAAAATTTAAAATATGCAAATATAGCATGATGCGCACTTAAAATGGTTATGCCAAATACAGGAGTGAAAATATTCACTGCCTTCATTAAATAGCAGGGTCTTAAGAGGCTCATTGGTCATCTCTCAGATATTCTATGAACTGCCCTCTCTAGCTTCAGTTTGGAAATCACATCAATGAGAGCCAAGAAGAAGTGTGCATCCATCAATCATAATCTGGTATCCTCCTTACAGATGCAAAATATGCAAAGAAGAACATTCCATGCAGTCCTACAATTCATAATAAATGTCTAAGGGATGGTAATGTTAAGCCTTCTAGGATTCGCTACACATCCTGGGTCAATATTCTTTACCCACTTACTCCTTCCTTTTCCTTGTGTCTATTTAGATCAGAGATGGGGAGCCTGAGGCCCTCCAGTGGTTGTTGGGCTCCAACTTCCATCAGCTCTAGCCAGCATGGCCACTGGCATGGATGATGGGAGTTGTAGTCCAGCAATATCTGAAAGATTACAGGCTCCTCATTCCTTATTTAAATCATATACCTGAGGGCTGTGTTTTGCCATTCCTTAGCTTATGCCACATATTGTATTATACCTTGTTTTAGGGATATACGCTAGATGACTCTTTGTTCATCTAGCTCACTACAGTATTGTTTAAACAGGCTGGCAGCAGGTCTCAAGATTTCAAAAAGGAGACTTTCCAAGCACTGACATGAGATGGCTGAGACTCGAACCCAACACCATTTGCAAGCAAAACATCCACTCTACCACTGAGCTACAGCCCTTTTCCAACTGGGTTCACATAAGGGTTAGGGTTAGGGTTAGGGTTAGGGTTAGGGTTAGGGTTAGGGTTCCTTTCCAAAATGCCCTTTCCAAAATGTGCAGTTTTATTGCCCCATCAACCAAATGGAAATGGCAAGAACCTTAGGAGGTTACTAAAAAGCTGAATGGAGATAAGGACTGCACACTAATATCATCATCATCATCATCATCATCATCATCATCAATATTATGAGTTATAGTCCCATCAAGATGAGACAAGGCCCAACACAAAGAGAAATTACAAGTTCAGCTTTATGCATTCACTGCCAATGACCTGTCCAATTTAAAGTCACTCACAGACTTAACTGCCTGTTCACTTTTGAAACTGTCTTGATTTGAAAAATCTTAATGCTATTAAGAAACAAGCAGGCATTTTAATGCCTTCATTAAAGAGGGAAAGAGATTGCCAAAGTGTAAGATGACGCGGAAACAATTCAAAAACTTTTCCACCAGCAATGGTCATCAGTCAGTTTGCTAAATTTTCCAAACATCGTCAACCAGAGGGACAGAATAAGTGCAACACTGCAAAACACCCAGAGGGCAGACTGAAGACACTAAAAATGCAACCAAAGGAAAGGCTCTTATTTTGCTGGTGGCAAACACATTTATAAGTGCAAGTTTGAAACGAACAGCCTCAATGATAAAGTCACAGACTGGACAAGCATTTCTTGTAAAAAGTGTTGCTCTGTTTTTAAAGCTAAATTGACAAGTAGTAACCTAGTATCCTAAGCACGTATAACGAAATCCAAACAACGTTCTTTTCTATTATCTTCACCTTTGTCTCCTTCCTCTATTGCCTGTGTCAAATTGCTAAGTGTTGAGTTTTTCAAGGCAAGGACTTGTCTTCACACAACTGTTAGTAACACCCCTTAGCTCTCATGACCTCTCAATTTTTTTTTGAAAATCACACTTCATTTCTAAGCTTACTGGCTCTTTGGTATTTGGACCATCAACACCAACTGAAAACCCATAGTGGGTATTCTTGCTCAGCTCCTCCTCTTTGTATCACAGTCACAAAACAGTATATTGGAAATTGCTGAGTACTTGCTATCACCAATAAGATGTCTAAATTTGTTTACACATACTCATTCCTTGGTGGAGTCCTAACTACCCACCTCCAAACACCTCCATTTAATAAACACTGCTTTAGGTAAAGGTAAAGGGACCCCTGACCATTAGGTTCAGTCACAGACAACTCTGGGGTTGCGGCGCTCATCTCTCTTTACTGGCTGAGGGAGCCGGCATATAGCTTCTGGGTCTTGTGGCCAGCATGACTAAGCCGCTTCTGGCGAACCAGAGCAGCGCACGGAAACGCCGTCTGCCTTCCTGCCGGAGCAGTGCCTATTTATCTACTTGCCCTTGTTTTCGAACTGCTAGGTTGGCAGGAGCAGGGACCAAGCAACGGGAGCTCACCCCATCGCGGCGATTTGAACCGCCGACCTTCTGATCGGCAAGTCCTAGGCTCTGTGGTTTAGACCACAGCGCCACCTGCATCGCCTAAACACTGCTTTACCTAGACAATTAACTTGCCAATGTTTACAGTCATTTTCTGGTATTATTGTTATCATTGCCTGAAGCATTATTTTTCTGCTCCTGACATACTGATACATCTATTTTGGCATAATCATTCAATTGCAAGGTGATTTCCCCACCCTACTCCCCCCCTAAAGAAAAATGTTGAATTGTCTCACAATATCTAAGTAAAAATGTCATTCTAGCAAGAGAAGTTAAACCTTTTTTAAGCCTGACCTGAAACATATCACATGACAGTAGATCTCATAAGTTTTAGCAGGGTTTACTTCAAGGCAATGACACTTTAGATCGTTATTATTCTTCCAGATCCCCATGATGAACATGGTTTGAACACATTTGATGCAGCAACCTTGCTAAGGCTAAGGCTAAGTTTCTGGTCAGTGCTTAGGTGGGAGACTGCCTAGGTCAATTGCAGAGAGGGAAAGTGGAATATAAGTGTAATAAATAAATAGCAAGTGAGTGCAATCCTCTACACACTTACCTAAAAATAAGCCTCACTGAATATGTATATATTTGGGAGAGGGGAGATGATACTTCAGAGTGAACATGCATAGGATTGTGCTCAGTGATGTGGGTCTTCTAGAAAATTTTCCACCGCAAATTAGGGTAATTTGTAAAGCATACTTTTCAATTTGCAGGAGCTAAAGAGTGATCTAATTTAGCATGCTTATTTTACTTTCATTTAGCGAACAACAGTAAACATTTTGAAACTGCCAAGCTTGCCAAATGCTGTATTTGTAATTGGCGTCCAATCACTGCTAGTACTGAACGAATAAAACTGAAAGTATTCTATGGAAAAATAAAGCACTGGGAAATTTTCCAATCCACATCACTGATTGCCCTGTAAGGCTATGAGTTGGTTCAATGTCAAAATCATGAGTTCCCAGTTTAAATATTAGTTCAGTCATGGGTAGCCTTGAGTTGCTCCAATAACTAAAGAAATAATCAACCCCTGTCTGTAATATGGTGATAGTATCTATCTATCCAAAATATCCTTACAACAGCCCTGCGTGTGGAATGATTCAGCTCTTGATAAAAAAAACAGCAACTAACTTTTACTCAGAGTAGACCCACTAAAATCAATGGCCATGACTAATTAAATCCATTAATTTCAATGCACTACTGTGAAAGTTAGTTGAATACAACCCATTGTCAAACTACCCTAGACACATTTACTCAAAATTAAGTTCCAATATCATCTACTGGACTTGATTCTTAGCATGTTTTGTACCAGTTTGCAAATATTTTATGAGACCTGACTGGTCTTTCTGAAGAAATCTGAGAATCAGCTGAAGCTTAGCATCCCCAAGGAGCTTTCCACTGGCCAACTGAAATGTTCGGCAGCACTCACCATATGAATTCCCCAGGGGAGTGCTCATGAATGTTGCAACTTGGGGGTAGAAACGGAGTAAACATGCCCAGAAGGAGGTGGTGTTTATAGCAGGTTAGGCATTTTGAAGCTTAGGGCACAGGAGCAGGAGAAAAACCAACATCTGATAAATAAGGCACCTGTCAAGGTTGAGAAGAGTAAGAGACCCCAAAAGTGGGCAGCGCTGCAAGGGTGACCCTATTAGATCTAGAATTTAAGACTGAGAAGGCAGCTCTTTGCCAAATTGATGTGAGCTCAGTATGCTTTGCAATTTCTGCTTTTGCATCTATGGAAAATTCACATGCGTGACCAAGGTTTATTTGCAAACCCATGGGTTATACAGGTGCATATATCAGGGAGTCAGGACGGGCTGTGTGTCCTATTGTCCAAATGTCTACACAGCAGCAAAAACAAGAGTCAAACCAATGCGCAAAGTGATCCCGGTAAAAAGGGGACCAAAGTGTGGGGCTCCCCTACAACTGGGTGGGGGCAAGTAAATCATCCCAGTACGTGGGAGGGAGGCACGTTGTGGTTCTGTTAACAGCATCCTGAATAGCCATTCAGAGGGATGCCCTGCCCGTCTATTTGGCCTGCCTGTGGGCATCCCCACAAGAGGACACCTTGCCCGACCTCTGGGGCAGGTCAGCAAGGCAGAGATTTTGCCAAGGGCAATGCCCGCTCCAACGCCGGGAGGTCTCTCGGGCCACTTTCTTCCTGCCCCTAAAGTGACGCGACTGCCCTCAGCTGTGGGAGAGAGAGAGGTGCACTGGCACCCTATCAGTATTCTGATCCCCCCCAAAAAATAAAAAATAAAATGCAACGGGGGTGGGTTGCGAAAGTGGGGAGAGGGCGGAGGCGGCGGGGGGGGAGCAAGGCGCAGACGTCTCGTCTGGACGTGCAAATCGGTGGGGTGGCGCACGGAGGCTGCCCGGGTCTGGCGCAGGCTGGTCCCGGATGAGGATGGCGATGGGCAAGAGGCACGCTGCCCGTGGGTCTGCCCCATAGGGGAGGCCGGCGTGCAGGCAGGCAGGCATCCCCCAGCCCCGCAACCCCACGGAGAGCATGGCGTGAGGCTGGAGCCGCCGCCGCAAAATGGGGTTCTGGCTGGCGGCGGAGCCTGCCACGGGGCTCGGTCTGCCCGCCCGCCCGTCCGCCCACTTCGCCTCCCTGCCTGCGCGCCTACCCGAGTCCCGGGGAGCCTCCGGGGAGAGGGGCCTGCGCCAGCGAAGGGGCCGCGGCTGCGCTAGGCCAGGCGCCGAGGGAGGCGCCCCGCGCCAGGCCCGCCCGGCCGCCAACGCCCCGGCCCGCTCGCCCCGCCGGCACTTACCGACACCGTCAGCTCCGCGGTGGGCTCCGTCGCCGCCCGGGCCCGCACAGGCCTCACCCAGCGCCGGGCAGCGGCTGCCTCAACATGGCGGCGGAGGGCGCGGGAGGGGCTGAGCACGGGGCGGGGCCTCGGAGGACGGGCCCACTCGCCCCGGCGGCCTCGCAGTGAGCGGGACGCGGCCGAGGAGAGCGCCCGGGTCGGGCAGGGAGGGGACGGCGGCGGCGGCCGGGCTCCGGCGGATGCGTCTCCGGAGCGGCGCCTCTCGGGTTGGGAGTGGAGGCCCGCCCCGACACCCTGAGCTCTTGGCGGCCCGGCTTTGCCACCCTGCTCGCCCCCTCCAGCCGCCTTCGGAGCCGCTCGCCTTCACGCCAGCAGCCTCGCCGTTTCTTTTCTTGTATAATTTTTATTACATTTTCCCTTTTACATTTCACATCCTTAAGATACCAGTGACTTCCCTTCTTCTCTTTCCACCATGGTTCATTTTACATATCATAAATCCCTGCTTATTTTACAAAAACTATACCAATCGGTTTTCCATTATTACACCCATCAAAACTTATTTACACTGTTGAATTTATCTTAACGCTGCCAGCGTTTTCAGTTGTGTTATAATAATTTTTAGGTCTTATAAATATATAATAAATGTTCATAAATGTACCAAGCAAACACATATATAAATATATAAACCACATGTCTGAAACACATAGGAAAAGTCCTAAAGCCATTTTGACTCTTTCAGTCACCTCAAATATTTCTCTACAAAGTCGAAGCAAATGCAGAAACCTCCCCATTGTCTCTGTCCTCACAAATCCTGCCTTAAGGGCACATTTAAGGTATGAATAGGGTGAGCCTGTGACCTGGCTCAGGAATTATTATCATTACAAAAGAATGGCCAGACTCCCCCGGTAATCCAGTCAAGTGACCATTAACAGGTAGCCTGGCAGACAGGGTAAAAACAACGCTCTCAGATCTCAGATTTCTCTTGTAGACCGCCTTTTCTGCGATGTATGTATGATGTTTCTGGGGGTGGTCTTGGACTCCAGGGCGGGCAATTTAAAATGTCTATGTAAGGATGGGCACACCTTTGTTCTGGGTCCTCCCCCTCTCTCCTGCGTGTGGGGGGAGCCCCCTGTTGCAACAGTTCAATAAAGATCAGGCTTACTAGCTGTTTTCTTCTCAATATTCTCTGGTTGGTCTCTGTTATTTTCTCCTACCGATAGAGAACCTACAAAAGGAATCTATAGGGGCTCTTGGGTACCCCATAAGGGAAAAGGAGCAATTTTTTTCTCATTAACAGGGCTAACAAGACATGGGCCGCAGTTGTTGCCTACATAAATAACCTTTTCTGACACCAGGGGAATTTCAGTCTGAATTATCCCCAGAAAGGACTGAGTTTTTTGGTAAAGTAATTTTAAACATTTTTTTTTCAATTCATTATAGATCATTTCCCAGTACTCTTACCCTTTTAACACCACATATGAAAAAAATGTTCCCTCCGCCTCTTTACACCTCCAGCAGCCTCACCATTTCAGCCCTTTCTTGTTATTTGCAATAATAAACCCTGAAAGGCACCAAAAGCAATTAATGACTTTGCTCATAATAGCATTTATAACTCACCTGAAAAGAAGGAAAAATCCAGCCTTCTCCAGAGTGGCTTTCAAATGTTATAGGAACAAGTTTATTTATGTCCTTTTTCCAAGGGGTTCAGGGTGGCAGACATAATTTATTTCATTGTTGTTTCTTTACTTCATTATTTCCCTCATGCTATTTATTTGCTTCTTCCTCCAAGCTGTTCAGGTCCTGCTTTTTGATCCTCACAACACCCCTGCAAGGTGGGGGTGGGTGGGTTGCTTTTTGCCAGCACCAAAATGACCCTCCCCCACAGTGCAAACCTGGGCAGTGTTTGTGGTGGTCCTAGGCTGCCCAGATGACTTGCTGATGTGGCCCCAAGGAAAACAGATCAATGCCTTTGGCACCAGCTTGCTGCAGGAATTGCCAGAATGAGTGTCTTGGGGAGTTGGGCAGCAAAAGCCAACCCCTGGTTTTTCCATAACAAAAACTCTAGGGATACCCTCTGCTGCCATAGAGTGTACTGGCTGCCCCACTCGCTGCTGTGTGAAGGATCCTTATGTGTGTGGCAAGAGGTTGACGTTGCAGCTGGATCCCATGGCCTTGCTATTTCAACATGTGAGGGGCTCCATTGAGAGATTTATTTATTTTTATTGCTGATGAATTTTTGTTTTAAATTGTTCCACCAAAAAAATAAACAAATAGATTTTACAAAAGAAAATGGCATAAGAAGCATAATGAAAGGCCTGGGAAAAGGAAAGAGTTTTGGGCAGCCCCACAAAGATAACAGAGTAGTTGCCAGGCAAACCTCCCCAAAGAGAGAGCATTTAACAAATAAGGTTACACCACTGAAATTGCCTCGGCCCCCAAAGTTATGCAGCTTCCCTCATGGGGTCCCCACCAACAATGATGCCTATATGTAGACAATGGGGTACGATCAGCAGTGCCCCTTTCTGCACATGTTGCCCCTTCACAGGAGGAACGTTGCATTTACACAGCATTCAATATTTTCTACAAGGGCAATGAGATGTTGTTGTGATCGCTAGTGGGGGATTTGTTTGGCATGCTTGGATGCAATAATGGGCTGGATGAGGGCCAATAAACTGATGCTTAATCCAGACAAGGCTGAGATGCTGTTAGCGGGTGATGCTTTTGCCTGGCTAAGTGGTGTGCAACCTGCTCTACATGGGGTCACACTCCCACTGAAGGAGCATGTTCGTAGTTTGGGGTTTTTTGTGGATCCATTGCTTGCACTCATTCTCACACATTGAGTTTGACTTTTTACTTGCCCTTCACTATAAGGTCCCCAGGCAGATTACCACTGTTAAAAAAATATAATATCAAATATAATATAATATCAAATATAATATCAATAATATCATATCAAAAACAGCCCCAAGAATAAGGGTCCGTGTGTGTGATGTCAAAGACCAGGGTAAAGAGCTGTGTCTTCAGCAGATGACAGAAACTACATAAGGATGGTGCCAGAAGCACCTTTACAGAGAGGGAATTTCACAATTTAGAGTCTGCCACAGAGAATGCCTTCTTCTGAGCTGCCACCTCCTGAACATCTGAGGGCCAGAGAAGTACCAAGAGCAGGGGTCAGCAACCTTTTTTAGCTGTGGGCTGGTCCACAGTCCCTCAGACCATGTGGGGGGCTGGACTATATTTTGGGGAAAAAAATATGAACGAATTCCTGTGCCCCACAAATAACCCAGAGATGCATTTTAAATAAAATGACACCTTCTACTCATGTAAAAACACCAGGCAGGCCCCACAAATAACCCGGAGATGCATCTGTCTCATGAGACCAGGGCCCTGCAGGATCTGATTTCTTTCCGCAGGGCCTGTAAGACAGAGTTGTTCCGCCTGGCCTTTGGCTTGGAGCCAATTTGATTCCCTTCCCCCTCTTTCTTTTTTCCTTTCTCTTTCTGTATTGGAACTCCTATTTGGGGACTTCCTTGGCTTTTCTTCTGGCCCATGTAGGACCAGTCTGGGTAGTTAGCCTTGGTGGAGACTTTCAACAGGTTCCAGTAAATTCATGTTGTTATCAGTTGTTATCAGTGATTTTTAAATATACCTTTTACTGTTGGGAATGGGGCAATGCTATTCTTTGTAGGATTTGTGTCTGAAGAAAAGATGTTTCAGATAAACTGGGACAGTTCAGGGACTGAGCGGAGGCAGCCAAGGGTCAGATTTAACAGAACAGGCAGTTCCCCAAAAGTTTCATAAGAAGATGAAATCAATAATCTAAACCCAAGGTCCAGCAAGAAACCAAAGTCCAGACAACGCAGTCCAAAGGAAGCGGCAGGGAAGGAACAGACAAGAATTTGGAGTTGAAACAACTGACAATCAGACCCTCAGTATATTTGAGTTTTGGGGTTTTTTTTTCTTTCCTTATATAGGGCTGCTATTGTGTTGGGCCAAGCAAGACTTTGTTATGTCAGTCAATCCAAGTAGACATGTTGCAGAGCAGAACTGGAAGTGATTTACTCACTGGTATACAACTAGGTTTCATTCAATAATCATAGAATCACATGAAGATGATTGCATACTCTCCAACATTACACAGACAAAAAAATCCAGATTAGGTCACATCCCAGTTAACTCTTTAAACAATATCCCACAACCATTTTGCATGTGTATATTCCCTTGCACCTTGGCTCAAAAAGGTTCTGTTTTTTCCTGAAAAGGCGAAGTAGTAATATACTAACTTACACTTGCAGACATAAAAGGGTTAACCTTATTTATTAATAATAATAATTAATTCATAAAAATGCAACTGAGAGGACTCAAGTTATATATGCAGTATACAAATGTAATCAATATTGTGAACAGAAGGGACGTTTTTAGAACCCTCCATGCAGTTCCATTTTGGCGGAACCAAATGAAGCAGCAGATGGTTCTCCAGTGACATGAACTGTTTTCTCTCCTGCCGGGAAGTTGCCTGCTATAACTCCTACAGCTGGAGCACCTTGCCAAAGCTGGGTAGTCTGCAGCTGACTCACAGCAGGCCACATGCTTTTCTCTATTGTTTAATATCAATCCTAAAATATTAAATCAGATAAATACTTTTGGCCTTTCTGAAGCAGACGGAAAAAAACATTCTTTTAACTATCTGCTCAAATGCCATCATTTTCACTGAAAATGCTAATGGGATTATGTAAAAGGTTATTTCATTCATTTCAGACCAGGGGCGCATTGACACACTGATGATGTCCTTTGTTTGTGCCTTGTTAATGACTTCTTTTATCTCCAAGAACCTCAGGCCTCGAAGAGCAGGCTTGGCATCTTTGCTACCGAAGCCTCTCGTTTCAAGCATCTCCCTAACTTGTCAAGTAGTTTTGGAAAAGATGTAATGGACATTAACGAGCGTCAGAAAGTGTAGATATAGCAAGTGCTTGCACAGTGGATAAAGTTTTCTGAATCACCTGTCCTTTCTCCATTCCGCTTGCACAGACAGCAAGATGAAGTGGGAAGATGGGTCAGAAACTCAAATACGTAATCTTCTGTGGGGCTATCACTGCTGAGCTGGAAAGCTCAAGTCTGAGTTATACATCAGCCATTCCTGCTTGTGTTTCATGTTCATGCTTCAGGTGCAAACTTAAATCCGTGCAGCAACTTCTATAGGGGGTTTGCAAGCTTCATTTAGGTGGTCTGCACTGTGTCTGTGAAGAAAATAGGGAGCAACAGTCATGAACAGCAGGTGAAGACAATCCCATATTCATATTGATTTTCCATTGTGTTCTGATTGCTTCTTGTATTTCTTATATTGTATTTTATTGTTGCATTTTACATTTTATTCTATGGACTTCAAATTGTAATGTAATAAAATACAATATAAAAGAAATAAGAGAAGCAATCAGAATACAATGGAAAATCATGCATCCTCTAGCACAGTGCATTACCCCACCTCTTCTTTCCTGATGCAGAAGGGAATGTCATTTTGTGGTTCTCCCCAGGTGCCAAAATATATAGGGCCAGTCCTGTGTGGAAGACCTCTGTTTGACACCCTAGAGAGCTGCTACCAGACAGAGTATCCAAGACGGCTCAACAGACCAATAGTCTGACCTGCTTTAAGGCCCCTTCCAATGTTCTTAAATTACATTCTGTAAAAAGGGCTGCCACCACCTGTGCAAGGATCCACAGACCTCTAACAGCAGCCATATATTTGGGCTGCAGAGCAGAGGGAGGGAAGGGAAGCAGGGTTACAACATCAGTTCTGCTGAGAGACCAGCTGCATTTAGCTTTTCCTCAACAGTGGCCCTACCTGCACTATACAAGTAAAGCACCATTGTTGTTGTTTCGTCATTTAGTCGTGTCTGACTCTTCGTGACCCCATGGACCAGAGCACGCCAGGCACTCCTGTCTTCCACTGCCTCCCGCAGTTTGGTCAAACTCATGCTGGTAGCTTCGAGAACACTATCCAGCCATCTCGTCCTCTGTTGTCCCCTTCTCCTTGTGCCCTCCATCTTTCCCAACATCAAGGTCTTTTCCAGGGAGTCTTCTCTTCTCAGGAGGTGGTCAAAGTCTTGGAGCCTCAGCTTCAGGATCTGTCCTTCCAGTGAGCACTCAGGGCTGATTTCCTTCAAAATGGAGAGGTTTGATCTTCTTGCAGTCCATGGGACTCTCAAGAGTCTCCTCCAGCACCAGAATTCAAAAGCATCAATTCTTCAAAAGCACCATTATGCCACTTTAATAGTGGCATTAAAGAGAGAGGCAGAGACAAAGAGAGAACTGCAGAGTAGCCACAGTGATACCGAGCTTGCAAAACCTGCTGTCATTTCCACAACTGCCACCTGAGGTCAGCACCTGTTAATGCTTCAGGCTGAAAACCAGGCCTTGGAAAGGCTCTAAACTCATTACTTAGAGGCTCAGTCTGGCCATTAGCATCGTCCTTCAATTCAAGCCTCTCCCTTAGGATCCCTTAAATAATAATAATAATATTTTAATTATTTATACCCTGCCCATCTGGCTGGGTTTCCCCAGCCACTCTGGGCAGCTTAAAGGTAGAGGTAAAGGACCCCGACAGTTAAGTCCAGTTGCGAATGACTCTGGGGTTGTGGTGCTCATCTCGCTTTACTGGGCGAGGGAGCCGGTGTTTGTCCGCAGACAGCTTCTGTGTCATGTGGCCAGCAAGACTAAGCCGCTTCTGGTGAGGTATAGGAATTCATTCATGTGTTTCCCCCCAAAAAATATAGTCCAGCCCACCACATGGTCTGAGGGACAGTGGACCAGCCCACGGCTGACAAAGGTTGCTGACCCTGGCTTAGGGCTTGCCAATCAGAAGGTTGGTGGTTCGAATCCCCGCGATGGGGTGAGCTCTCGTTGCTCGGTCCCAGCTCCTGCCAACCTAGCAGTTCAAAAGCACGTCAAAGTGTAAGTAAATAAATAGGTACCACTCCGGTGGGAAGGTAAACGGCGTTTCCGTGTGCTGCTCTGGTTCTCCAGAAGCAGCTTAGTCATGCTGGCCACATGACTCGGAAGCTGTCTGCAGACAAACGCCGGCTCCCTCGGCTAATAAAGCAAGATGAGCGCCACAACCCCAGAGTTGTCTGCGACTCGACCTGACGGTCAGGGGTACCTTTACCTTTACCCCTATAATACCTAGTGCTGTCCCTATAATTCCCTAAAGAAGGCTTCTGGGGCTTTTTTTTACAAATGTTATTTTAAACATATTTTTCAAGTCGTTATATATCATTTCCCTGTAAGCTTTAACCTTACTACAAGATCACCACATAGGATAAAAAGAACCTCCTTTCTCTTTATATTTCCAACATTTATTTGATTTGGATTTATACATTTTGCCAATTTACTCAGTGTTAGGTACCACTGATATATCATTTTCATATGATTTTCTCTTAGACCATAGCACGCTGTAAATTTTATCTCCTTATTCCACAACTGTTCCTATGCTTCCATAACTATATTATGACCAATATCTATTGCCCAAACAAGTTTCCCATTCCTGATACAATTGAATTTCTATCGAAAATATAGCAAATATTCATCAGTAGCATCAGTGCCTATAAATTAGCATGTGCAAATCGACATGCAACTCTTAGTGAGAGGCTTCTCCACTATGGCGAAAGGGATTGAATTTGTCTAGAAATTAGAGCCCCGTGTTATCGGTTTGCACCCAGAGCTGTAGCTAGGTGATCTTGTGCCCCTGGCAAAACCATCCAGATTGCACCCCTTAGCCACAGACAAATTACCGTATTTTTTGCTCTATAAGACGCACCAGACCACAAGACGCACCTAGTTTTTGGAGGAGGAAAACAAGAAAAAAAATATTCTGAATCTCAGAAGCCAGAACAGCAAGAGGGATCGCTGCACAGTGAAAACAGCAATCCCTCTTGCTGTTCTGGCTTCTGGGATAGCTGCACAGCCTGCATTCACTCCATAAGACGCACACACATTTCCCCTTACTTTTTAGGAGGGGAAAAGTGAGTCTTATAGAGCAAAAAATACGGTAGCTTTTCTTTCCACCTCATCTCCACCCTCCCAACTCCACCCATTCAATTCCTCACACACTAATCAATATTTTTATTTATAGACATATTTATGGACATATTTTAAAGCCAATTTTGCTCCCCCCTCACCTGCGCCTCTGGCGGGGGTCCATGTCACCACCCCCTAGCTACAGCTCTGTTTGCACCGCCACCTTATAAATCAGCATGTGCAGATTGCATGCAAAACCCATCAGCCACTTTTTTTTGAGGGGCGAGTGATCGCCCAAGAAAATGAACAAGCATTTCCATTCTGGCCATGCGTCAATGGCCCCCCACCCGCCCCCGAGGTGGCACCCCAGGTTTCAATACCCAGGACAAGGACCGGATTTAGGTTTGATGAGGCCCTAAGCTACTGAAGGTAATGGGACCATTTATATGTCCAGCTCTCCTTTGTCTACAACAAATTGTTGCTGGGTTTTTTTTATGTTGAATATATGCTATATGGTAATTTATGGACCTAATAGGTATCTAAAGCCATTTGCACATAACAAAATATGCATTTTATCAAAGGAATTGTTGAACTGAAATACAATTAAGAAGAAGTATATCGATAGTGAAATACAATTAAGAAGTATATTAATAGTGAAATAATTATTAAGCTCTAACTTAAAATGATTTTTTACTCGTAACAAACTTAATAATGCAAACACATTGGCATTTGGCAATAACAAAAGTTCCTTTAGAAACACAATTTACAAAGACTCATAATCTAGTCTCTAGAAACTTGCTATAACATGAAATAATAACAGGTGATATATGTTGCAAACTACTAATAATTATAAACAGCTTTATAAATATGAAATTAAGTGCTATAACCTGTACAATGCAACAGGGCCCATTAATTACATCATAGGAGCCTACACAACACAAGACAAAACAAAACAAAACAAAACATTGTTGCTGTATGTAGGTTTTATTTTGTTTCCCCCCTTATAATTTGGAAGTGCGCGGGGCCCTAAGCTATAGCTTGTTTCGCTTATACGTAAATCCGGCACTGCGCCAGGACAGCCGTGCCGTCGGCCCCGTCTCGCAGCGAGCCAACAGCGCGGGGGCCCCGACGGGCAGGGAGCGCGCCGGGCGCGGGTCCGCCCCGCCGTCCCTGAGTGACAGCCCCATGTGCGGACCACTATAAATAGCGGGTTCGGCGGCCGGCCGCGCGTGATTGACGGCTGCCGCGCTGCGCGGCGTCGAAGCGGACTGGGAGCCGCCCGGGACCCCCGCGCGCCCTGCCGCCGCCACCAGCTCCCCACTTTTCCCGGCCGGGAGAGACCGAGCGTCGCTCTTCGCTGCGGGGCAGATGGGCTCCAGGCGGAGGCCCCTGGGCCGCTCCTACTCGGGCAACGGCCCTTACTCGGCGTACAGCCCCGGGCAGGGCAGCGACGGCGAGGACAACGGGCCCCTGGTGGAGCATCGGCCGGAGCGGCGCAGCTATTTCCTGAGCGTGCGCCCCGAGAACAGGTACGCGCCGTCGGGGCGCGCGGGGGAAATCGGTACCCTGGAGGGAGATGTGGGGCGCTGTTGGCACCCAGGCCCGGAGGTGGGGTGGGGTGGGGGGTCGGGGAAAGGTGGAGGCCCCCTAAGCGTTTGTGGCTACGTCGGGGGGCATTCCTCCCGGCGAGGCGGCACGAAACAGATGTGCACCAAACGCTTTTCTTTCGTGCTGGGAAGCGAATGGATGCTCGGGAGAGAGAGACTGCGGATGGTCAGAGGAAGGGCTGGTCGAAAGGAGGGAGAAGGAACCTGTGGAACTCATTGCCACCAGATGTAGGGAGGGGACCGCTGGCTTAGAGGGCTTGGAAAGGAGGAGAGGTGGACCGGTAACTGCCGTGGCAGTTCTTCCATGGAGCCTAGACG